ATATAATCGCACACGGCCAGGGAACCTCCCTGAGTTCCATTCTACAACCGGAGAACACGCGGTAGTACGCCGTCACAGAATAATCAGACGCGGCGAAGGTACTTCGAGGCTTTCCTCTATCCATGATAACTAAATGTTCGAGGACGAACATTCTAATTTTGGGGAGATAATGTTATGATACGACATGAGCCAGATTATAGATTCTGGGCATCCTGTATAATACGAAGGACGAAGAGTCTAAACATTCCTGATCGGGGTTACCCCTCACCTACTGTATAGAAGGGTTCCGAACTATAAAGGAGCGTGAGGCTGAGACATCCCTGAAGAAGGATAACACTTTTTAGACATCGAGAATACGACAGATAGACTAGGCCTATCCACTAAGGCTGAACTATCTATAAACCGATCTACTCGTAGTTTAAGAGACAGCTCCAGGCTGTTTCATAATAGCTTTCGGTTGCGGCCATACCATGCAGGAAGCACTGTTTCCCGTCCGATCAACGTTAGTTAAGCTGCATAGGGCCACACTGAGTAGTGTAGTGGGAGACCATATGCGAAATTGTGGTGCTGCAATCTTTTTGCCTCGGCAAGAGAAGAATTGGTGCCAAACCCGTTTAACTCGAAATTACACTTCTTGTGGCGACTCAGTCATCCAACGGCTAACAATGCATAATTTGCAGAGTAAGCGACCGACTTGGCTGTGCCTTCTATTACCTGATACTCTTTGTAACGTGGTGCACTACAGGTAAAGACATGATCTCATATTTTGAGTCAGCAATTTATGGAACCTTGATCTCCTGTCAGTACTCATCATGTATCAAGCAAACACTCAAAGAGAGTTTATTATGATGTCAGCTCTGAACTTTCACTAGAACGGTCTGGGTCAATTGCACTTCTCCAAGTAAAGCTGTCAGCTAATAAACGTCAAACATTCGTAATAAACGAGATAGGGGGTTCAAAAGCACCCTGTGCTCTAGGCTGTATCAAGAGGGCAAAAGCAGACAAGCCAAGCCCCCCATCACTAGGCCTAGAACTGGCCTGCGGCAAATTGCAAATGTCCGTACGGACCGTAATTAGCTATATACACCAGAAGTTTCAAAGCGATGTGCCTCCCCACCTCTCTGCCAAGATCCAATGATACATCAATGTACTGTCCGGGCTCTGCATGTCCATCCCCATATCTTTAAAAACACAAAGAAAAGACCTAGACCCAGGCACCCCGAGCAATACTCCTCACCTTCAAGCATTAATCATCCTCAGCGCGACCGCCCGTCACTTGACCAAGTGGATGTCCATTTCAATGCCCTCGTCCTTATTCATGACAGCGTTTTTCTCGTTAAAAAGCTTCTGCAACTCCCGCTCGATCTCGGTTATCAACCCGTCGTAGCCGCAGCTCCTTGACCGCACTCGAGCCTCACGCAATAGCCGCTCGGCGCTCTCGTACTGCGAAAGGTGCAAGTTCACCACGCCTAGGCCGTACGTGGCCAACGCCACAGTCTCGCTTATGGTGGTGTTGTCGCGCACAACGTCCTGCGGCAACGTCTTTGAGCCCCGGATCACCGACTCGTACGTGGCAATGACCATCTCGATGAGCTTCTGCTTGTTGGCCACGATTTCCTCGTACGAGCGCTTGTCAGCGTCCAGAACAGCCCCGGCGATCTTGTCTCTGATTTCCTCAGCTTCCGCGTGCAGCACAGCAATCGGCTGGAGCGGGTCGTGGATAGCCTTCACCTTGGCGTAGTCCACGCCCGCAGCACTGGACATTTTCTGGCGGAGCGCCTGCTCCTCGGCCTGGAGTTGCTCGGCCTGGAAGTAGAGGAGAGACGCCGTGTTGCACTGGGACAAAAGCAACTTGTCGGGCGCCATTCCAGCCACGAGCATTTTGCTGGTCATGGAGACACGCACACTGCTGGCGGCCTTGATGTCGCCCACCGCCACGCAAATGGCCGAGAGGAGGTCCATGGCGCTGAAGAACTCTTCGGCAAAGGGCTCCCAGGCCTCCGGGTTGGTCTGCAACACAATCACGTCCTCATCCTTCAGATCTTTGACCATGGACGCGAGTTCCTGCTCGGCGCCTTCCAGCGCGTCTTTTCTCGAGGACAGCCCGAGCAAGTCGCCGGCGGCTAGCAACGACACGGCCCCCGAGCCCAAGCCCATCCTGCGGTTGGCCTCCTCCTGAGCTATTAGCAAGTGCGTGATCAAGATGGCCTTGGCAAGCAGCGGGTTTTCGCGGTTGAGGTCCACCAACTTGAGGGCGACGCGCAAGTCCTTCTGGATCAAGTGGCCACGGCGGCCGCCCACACGCGCACCCTGGGCCGAGTTGGCGGGGGCTTTCAACACGGATAGGTACAAAGTGGCGATCTCGTTGTAAACAAACGCGGCGTCGTCCGCCATGCCCATGCGCTCGTACATCTCGCCCACCTTGAGCTGGATGCCAGTATACTCGTCCGACAAGCGGTCCACCTGCAAACCACGGCATTCTTCTAGCGCCTCGAGATAATGTTTGAGCGCCAACTCGTAGTCCTTTTCGCCCTTGTCGGACTCGGCCCACAAGCCCTTGCGCAAGATCTTGGCCACCGACGGCGGGAACGTGTGTTTGGGCCACCACATATAATAAGCAAACGCTGTCAACGACGCAAGGTACAAATTCATGGTGATGAATCGTTTGAACTTGGAGGGCGGCGCCTGGTACGCCGCAAAGTGCGAGTAATTGTACAGCCGCGCGAAGTGCCGGCCGGGGCTGGCGCCGGCTTTCACGCTGGGCCGGGCGCTTTTCAAAAAGGTCCGAAACATGGCAGCAAAACAAGACTGGGTCGGCTTTCTGGCCACTGAATGTGGGGTAGAAGAGTGGGTTTGGCTGACTCGAGTCGATCGGTTTGCCGCGACCGGAGGCACGGGTGCACGGCTCGTGCCCAGTCGGCTTGTCCCAAATGGTCCGTTTTATTGGAGGGGCTCACGACTGACCCGTCTGCTATTTTTGGTATGGTTCGACTCACTGTGCGGGAGAGGTGGAAGGCCTGGTTACAGCAGCCGGGCTGCCTTTGAAATTCAATATTGGGTGCACGTATCTTGGATGTACGTAGACCGCTGCACCCTCGAAGCTAGAATTGGCACAAGCGAGCTCTCCAGTTCACGGGCCTTTTATTGTTAGGTGCTTGTTTTTGAGGATTTTCACATGAGACGCGGAGGCGCCTCTGGTTCAAGTTGAATAAAACACGCTTGTGTTTTTGTGATGACAGCTCCATGTCTTTGAATTCTGCTGATGCATCTGGGAGTTTGGCCTGTCTGTCTTTTATATGTGCCGGAGGGGCCAACAGCGAACGTGAATGTAAGCTGCTGGTCGAGAGGGGGCAGGACAATGCGTAGTTTGCGATGTGCTCATTATGTTTGGCCACCAGTCGTTTTCTTTGCTCTGGGGCTTCTTTAAAATCCGGGGTCTGGACAAGCAGGAGCTGCTGAGCTTCATGCCTGCTTGTTCTGAATCAGAATATGGTCTAGTATCTGGTACAATGGCACTGGGTCTCCTTGCCTTGTGATCTATGTGGTCACGTGTATTCCATTATGATCATGTCGTCACGTGTATTAGATTACTATCATGTCGTCACGCATCGCTCCATTCTTGTGATCTTGTCGTCACGTGTAGTACTTTAAAAACGATGTCTTTACCTGTAATACATCATGACCATATATCTTCAAGTCTAATACACCAACCTTAAGATTCTGCAATAATTACGTACCAACAACTCAACAAAGACCCATTCCCGGAAATTGATCCTCTCGCCTCCAATTTACAGGAAACTCGCTGTCGCGTGGAATTGTGATGGGCTTGAAGACACAGGGCGCACAATCACCAATTCCATGCCTACACGAGTCCAGTTTTAAAGAGAACGGTATGTTTCTGAATCTCTTAAATTAAGACTGTGTTTCTCGCCTCAAACAATAAATGCCACAGAGTAGACTTTCGGGCGCTTTTTAGGTATCTGTATTTCATCTGATTTCTTTCTTTAGAGAATTGTGCGATTATACCAAACAATATTATTGCATGAAATTCCTGCTTCGACCATCAAAATTCAAAACTTGCAAAACAATCGAGTTGGGCTCATCCAGAAATCAAAAGAAACCACGGCTTACGCTTTGGTTGGATTCTCTCAAAACTTGTGACACTTTCATTAAACGTTTATAGATAATACTTTCCTTGTGTGATATCGTGAAACAATATATATGCGACGCAGCAGAGGGACACAAAGCCCTGGAGCGAGCGACCATGGAAATCCAATGGTTCGCTTCAAACCAACAAAACAAATCTACGATCTAGCTTCAAAATGCTTCTAAAATCTGCGCTTATGCCCATGGCTCTTGTCCCTTTAGAGACTCTTCTGGCCAAAGAAATCAAGATTCATTTGCGAGAGTGCATGGGGGACCTATTAAACAAATACGTAATCCAAGAGGAACTTGACTCGACAATCTCAATCAGCCTCCTTGGCTTTGGGAACATCGAAAACACAGAGAGGACGTGGAGAGATGCCTCTGAAGACGCTTGGCCTTTGCATGAATGCTTGCAAAGTTTGTCGATGGCAGGTGAAGGACCACTCCCAAGTCCCTCTTTGAGCTCCAAGTTTCCCAACGAGCCTTCGTATATGGCTAACCTGGAAAATCCTCATCTGTCATATTCAGTCGAAGATCCAATTATATACCAGTGGCCTTAGACATTCAAGTCTAACTTCGTGGTTCTTACTGATAATGGTCTAGAAGAGGTAAATAAAAATACATCTGATTAGGAACAGAGCCCCAAAAACTTTTGTTGATCAAGAGTTTCGCAGACCCGAAGCGTTGGATCTATCCTAAAATTCACAGGGCAGAGAATCTCCCTTCATGGAGTCATCCCTTGTAGAGGTGAAATGGTTTATAGAGGTGCAGCGTGGCATTGAAGCAGAGAATTTTGCTGCTTTGAATAGACACAGCCTCCTTGCAATGGTGCTTGCAAGCGTGATAACTACCAAACCATGCCATTTTTTTCAAGCAAGGTTTTGAACTATAAGACCATTTTTCTTAACCTGGATCATAACTTCATTTTAGGCATAGAAGGCAAGGCAGAATTAGAGGGCTTTGCCCGAATATATAGTCGCGGAGTACAGGAGGGGCTCATCGTTTGTTGCATCTGTTCAGAGTGAATATCATGTGTGTTCTCGTACACTATTACCTTGGATGTAGAGTTGTATTGATTCATGAAGAATTGCAAGAGGCAGTTATCGCCAGCAACTATCACCATCTGTAGTCCATGAATAAACAAGGGTTATCCCTCACAGCGTATTTAAATTTTGCACACGAGAGTCGCTTGGACGATTTCCCAAAGGTAGAACTTTTTTTTTTTACATTTTTCAAAGCCGGCATATTTTGAAGAACCGAAATCGCCTTCAAGAAGGCACAATTTCAAATTTCGCTCTTTGATCCGATTCAAAGTGAGCATGGTTCTGACATGGCAAATGAAGCATGATGGCAATGGCGTGACACTTTGGTCAGCCACTGAGCATCTGCTATTCAGTCCAGCAATACATGGACAAATTAAGCAAAGTATGGAAGTGTAAGGCCGCACGTCCGAACAAGATACAGTCAACAATGGAAATGTTGTGATTTCTTAATTTCCCATATTCTCCAATTCAGAACCGTGACAGCCCCAAGGGACAAAAAAATCAACAGTGAAAACAACTAGCCAGCTTAGCTCACAAACGCGCTTGGAACACCAAAAGCTCGGCTCTCCCAAGCAAATTTAAATACAATACAAAATAACCTGGAACGCTAGCTGCACGACAATTACGTTGTGCGTATTGTTCCCGACGCGAGCCCGCTTGAACAACCGCATCTTTCCTCCGCCTCACGAAAAAATCTGTACATTATCTGCTAGTACTACTCTAGAAATGTCCAACATCCTAAATGTACTAAGCCCTCCGCCTGGCAGAGACTTGTCCGACGAGGAATGTATCGGATGTACGGCTGTGCAGCTGGCAGTCTGTTTTCTTGGAGGGGGGTATTTTCTCTCTCTGTTGCCTTTCAAAGATAAAAGCGGATTGGTGGATCTTCGAAAACACCCCGTGTGGTTTCAGCGTGGTGTGCGCGGAACAGGAATCGGCCTTTTGGCCCTTGCTTGCTATAGGCTTGGGGAGGTGGGCAAAATATACTATAACCGGACTCACTAATGTCCTCCGTTGCCCATTCCGACCTTTTCTTTTTAGTAGTCACGAGACGTTCAATAGTTCGTATACAGGATGATTTCCTATTGTTTAAAAGAATACGTCTCCAGAGCCATGTTCACCGAGACACAGCCCAGACGTAGCGTTGTTACAACTGCTTTATTTGCCACTCGCCCAGATCGGCTCCTTTATCTTTTAGCCTCCCTCACTGACAAATTTGTAAGCCGCAAGTAGAGTCTGGCGCATTTTCTGGGTTCGCCTCAAAGGGAATCTAGGGTCTCCTCAGACGTTTGCACGTGACTATTGGGCTCTTTTCACAAACCACGCAGTTCCCATATTTCTCATGATACTGTGTGTTCGTGGATGATGTGAATTTCCGGTTATCTCCATGGCGTAAGTCTTCAGGCCAGACATGGCACGCACTTGTACTTCCGCCGCCTCGGCGTTGCTTTCCATTAATATTGTATTCGCGGATTGGCGAGTGCTTATTGTTTCCGAAAAGTGAGAGCTGAGGCCACATCATGCCAATGTTTTTGCGGGGAATTGAGAACACGTAAAATTTTAGACGGCGTGAAGAACCACTAGAGTACGAAGTTGTGAAACCAAAAGCAACAATGCACAAAATTCGTTGAAACCGTCCTTTTGCGGCAATGGTTCGTCCTCGAAAGTCCGCTCAATAAGAATCAACAAGTATGTAGGACACATGTGTAAATCACGCACAATACAATAGCGCTGTTCCATTCCAACCCCCCGTTCACCCTCAATGCGACATCATAAGCGTTACAGACGCATAAGCCGTCTACCGTATTTTCTTGGTGTGGGAGAGCCTTCGAAATGATTCGGGCCCCTTCTTGTATTTCCGTGTCCATAGGGATCTCATCAGCCAATACGGTACTCAGAGACATTTTCCTCAGAGACTTTAGACATGCATGAACTCTCAGGGACAACTTTAATTTGAGGTCACAAAAGAAAACTCTGTTTTTGAATCCGTCTGCATGGTGGCTCTCTGTGTGCGTGCAGCTTACGACTGCATGCACAACGTGACAGACGCACTGCCCCACGTATTTTTGTCAGCAAAGCTTTCATCTTTGATATTGCGTGGACCCGCAACAAAAGTAGCGCCGTGAAAGATTCGAAGGTTTGAGTGTGGGGCAAAAAAAATACAATATATTTTCCTTCACAAGACAGGCCACACGCAAGTCTGGTCCATCGTGTGTCACCCGGTCGCGTCAGACTGAAATCAAAACAATAGGGGCAGTATCTCCGCGAAAGGCTCTCTCGAAGCACAAGCAAACAGAGCCTCTGCGACATGCCTGATCCTACATGTGTTGAATCGTTCTCTAATTGCGCATTCGTCTGAAATTCTCACTTTCCCCCATCCTGCGCAATATCTCCCAGATTTGCACCTCAGGCACCGCGAGTCTCATATCTGTAGTCTGACGTATAAAGTACTTCTTTTGCTGCCTGCCGGGGGCAACATGCGCTTTTTTTCCGACGCCCTTCCAAACCAAAGTGCTTCACATTCTAGGCGAGAAAAAAAAACATTCGAAGGATTTGCCCGTCTCACCAATTAAATCAAAAAGAAAATCCTGGTTCTGCCTCTTGCTCATGGAATTCCAGATCCAGCTTTAAACCTCTTCAGTTCCGCCATACATATTGCGCTGGTTTGTAGCTCTCGTGCACAGACTCTCGGAGCTATCATCATACTCAACTTCACCTTTACTTGCATCTAGCATCCACAGGCTCCAGCACATCTTTTGAACGCCTCGAGCTTTTCTTCCTTTGCGTACCATGGACCAACTGTATACCATGGACACTGTCAACCAGAAGCAGCCGCCCGGACCGCAAATGCGCAGAGGCTACTATGGAGATGACCACGAGCTCTTCCGCCAAAACTCATCCTTGGACTTGAAGTACCCGTTTCCCCAGCCGCACCTGTTCCCGCCCAGCCTGTCGGTAAGGGGAGGCCCTTTGAAAATGCCCTCTTCGTTCCCGTTGGACGGAAACATGGGACAAGACAGCCAGGCTACAGACCCGCGGTATGTGCCGCAGGATTTCGTTCTGCTGGCTCGCGAGCTGGAAGACAAGAGATACAAGAACCACTACGGGTTTCTGGGCTCGCAGGGCCAGGGCACAGCCTCCCTCAACAATGGCATCAACCCTCCGCCGGGCATGAACGCTTTTTCAAATGGCGCTGGCGCCACGTCTTTCAATGTGCTCAATCTCCCGCCGGCGGCCGCGCCGGTATATGCGAAGACCCCGGGACCCGACGGGCTTGTGGCCCCCATCCCGCCGTTGCACGTGCAACACGAGCATTCGTCCAAGGAGGACGCCGACATGCCGGAAACCGGCGAAAACACCATCCACAGCAAGTGCTCGCGGTGCAAAAAGGACTTTGTGCAGAGGCTCAGCGCGCCGCAAGACAACGGCAAGGGCAAGAGCAGCGAGCCCAAGATCTTCAAGTTGTGTTTCCACTGCCGCGACTTGCAGAGGCAGCGGTCGCGGCGATGGCAGATGAAAACCAAGGACAAGCAGGGCGCGTGCCGGCGGTGTGGCAGCGAGATCCCGGTGGACCAGCAGCGGTTTGTGTTGTGCCCGCAGTGCCGCAAAAGCCTAAGAATACGAAAGGCCAACCGCGCCGCGCAGGGCCGGTGTGTGCACTGTTCCGGGCCCATCAGCTCGCTGATCATCAAGGACGACAGTGCCGATGGGGACTCGTCGGAGGAGCCGGAGAGCCGCCGGTCCTCGGAGGCGGGGTCCTTCAAAGTGTGCCAGCGATGCCGAGAAAACGACAAGATCCGGCGCAACAACTTGGAGCGCATGGGCAACTGCAACCGCTGCGCCAAGGCCTTGGACCCGGACGAGCAGGGCCGGCACAAGGTGTGTTTCACGTGCCGCCAGAAGAAGAAGAAACAGGGCGGCGTGCCGCCGTTCGGCGCCGGCGACGCGCCGGCGGGCGTGCAGATGCACATGTCTCAGGGGACGCAGATGCTTTCGGGCACGCAGCACATGCAGCAGCCGCCTTTGCTCCAGCCGGGCCAGGCGTTGCATCATGCGTCGCAGATGGGCTCGCAGAACCCGGGCTCGCACATGCACGACATGGGGCAGAACGTGATGGTGCCGTCCATGAACTACGTGCCCATGGAACAGAACACGATGCTCATGCACCCGGGGGCAGGCGGCTACAACGGCGCGGGCGTCTCGGTGCCTCTGCAAGAGATGCACATGGGCTACGCGCAGCAGATGCAGCCCATGGTGCAGGGGTCGGGCGACATGTACAAGCCTCCCATGACGCAGCTTCCTCTGTTGCAGCCGCACATGGACCTGGGGTACCAGCAGTTCATGGGCTACCCGCCGGTGGGCCGCAACGGGCTCCATTACTCGAGCAACCGCATGTGACGGGCGACAGGTGATGAATGAGGTGGCAATAGTGGTATTAGGGACAAGTGACAAGTGACAATAGGGACAAGTGATATTAGTGATGTTACTGATATTAGTGATATCAGTGACAAAAGACAAGTGATGTTAGCGATGGTATTGATATTAGTGATATTAGTGACATCAATGAGAATAGCGACAATATTGACAATAGTGACAAGTGACAAGTGACAAGTGACAATAAGGACAACTAGAGTGATATCCAATAGTGACAACTAGTGGAATTCGTCTTGTTAGTGATGTTGATAGTGACATTAGAGACTTTCGTGATATCAGTGGCAATTGGTGACAATAGTGACAAGTGATATTAGTGATATTATTGAGAGAGTGACAAGCGACGATAGTGACAAGTGATATTAGTGATATTAGTGATATTCTTGATATTAGTGCGATCAATGACAAGCGATATTAGTGAAATCAGTGAAATTAGTAATATTAGTGACAATAGTCACATTATTCGCATTAGTGATACGAGTGACCAAAGTGACAAGCGACAATGGTGACAATAGGACGCTGGCGACAATTAGCTAATACCGAACGGTGTAAAGAAAGCATGACAGCGTCGTGGATTGTAGAGAAGAGTGCTGGGCGAGGTTCCACGCGGGCCCACGACTACGTATTCTACAAGTACACGAGGCCCGCTGCTCTCATCCCTGCTATACAAGTGGAGGCTTTGCTCGTGCTTTGCGCCTTCTAGACCTTTCCTCGATGCCGCTAGCCTTTTGATGTCACAGCGTCTTTGGCCCTCTGGATTTGGTATGTCTAAGCCTGCTTAAAAGAGATGAACGCGGAAGGCCAATGGCGGGCCACTTGCTGTCCCTATCAGGTATTAGGGCGGCCCCAATCACCACGATACGGCCCAGCTGCACTTTCTTCCTGGAACAAACCCCTCAATCATTGCAACAAACCGCTCAACCATTGCAACAAAACACCCGTGGTTGTGCCTTTCCCTCCCCAGGGCACGGCTGAGTTGACGACAGAAAGCGCGGCAGCAAAAAGTATAGACAGGCGCCCAGCCTACTTGCTCATTCGCATGTGAGCTTAACAAACGTGCGCCTCACCGTGAACCCTCATGATTAGTAGCCTTGAGCAAGCCACGGGCTCGTGAGCCACGAAGCACAGGCCTGTACCAGATGAGCTCTTTGAGCATTGCTGTTCTCGGAATCTACTCGCCAAAAAATAAAAAAAAAAGAAAGAGAAGAGAAGAAAGAAACCACTTCCATCAGGGCTCCAGATATAGGCTTAGTGGACCTTGCCTGCAATGAGAGCTTGCCAGGGACTGGGACTGCCGTATACCGCCATCAAGGAACAGACGAGAAGAATCACAAGCCATTCTGTCTCGTCCCCTCCTATTGTTGTTTTCCCCTCCAGAATTTCGCATGCGCACAGCATGCTACAAGGCCAAGGAGTTCCAGGTGGCCCGATTTATGATCCGCACGCGGCCATGGGGAAATTGCCGAGCCGCGACATTTTCCTCCATGCGAGGGTGTCAAACGTATGCGGCGGCACCACGGAAAGTGGCATGGGAGGTCCTCTCGGCAGGCAGCAAAAAGAGGCTTTGCGTGGTGGGGCCTGCCGCCCAGGCAGGCCCGTCTCAAAACGAGCCCGAGTTTGAGACGCCGGGGCCGCCGCAGAAAGGAAAGGTGCACAGCCCGCTTGCAGCGTCTCGCGGCCGCAGATACGCACGGTTGTTGGATGGGTACCCTTGTGCAGCGATAGCGGACAATGGAGCGCATGTACGCTAGCCAAAGACAATAGGGCCAGCGCCCGGGCGGGGCACCAAGAATGTTGATGCGTGTCTCTGAAAGTGGCGTGTTTTGAGTCTTTTGATTTTTTTTTTTTTTTTTTGCAGGCGGGCACCTGCCCGGCCCTCCGGTTCTCGAGATATTTGCAAGCACGCGACAGCCCGCTTGGGGGCCCTGTCTGCAGTCGCCTCGAGCCTGTAATGCGTTATTGCTGCGTCGAGCCATTGAATTGCCCTGGCCGGGCCTGGTAAGGAAATTCGTTTTCTAAGCGTCTTTCCCGCGTCCTGTAGCAACAGGCCGCAGGAGCAACGCAGTTTGCAGCGGAAGAAACCGTCCTACGTGGCTGGCCACGTGACCCTGCAGCCCGTGACTTGCGTCTGCCCCGCATCGCGAAAAATCGCGCCGGGTCTTATCCACTCTCAGTAGTTAATGCTTTTTATATCATCATATATATTGTGAATATTTATAACCTAATAAAGGATATAATTCTAAATGATTATTCAAAATATTTCTACTATGTTTATTAGAAACATGAATTTTATATTGAATGATCTTTCTATTATATTAAGTTTTAATGATATTCTATATTTAGTTCAGACCATAAAAACTGTAATACATCCCACCGGCTCTTCTTGGCGCGGCGCCTCCGCTCTTGCCTTTTGTGACATCTCCCTGTGGAGCGCGGACCTCCAGTTTTTATCTGAGGCTTTAGTTGCGCACTTTGGTATAGCTTGGGTCTGGCTTTTGTTCTGGTCTGACTTTTGTTGTGGGTCTGACTTTTGGTCTCGGTCCGTTGTCTTTGGTCCTTTGGTCTTTTGGTGTCCGTCGGTCGCTTTTGGTCTCACCCTCGGACTTTTGGTCTCACCTTCAGACTTTTGGTCTCACCTTGGAACTTTTGGTCTCACCCTCGGACTTTTGGTCTCACCTTCAGACTCTTGGTCTCAATTCGCACTTTTGGTCTCTATTCGCACTTTTGGTCTCACGTTTGGCGCCTTGGTCCCCTCTGGATCTTCCTCCCACTTTGTGCCTCCCTTCAGGCCTCCTATCGCGTCTGGGTCTTTTCCCCTACACCTCCTTGCCGCCCCTTTTGACTCGCATCCTGCCGTCTTTTTTTGGCTCGCATCCAGTCTTTTTCGGCTTGCCCCTCCCCCTTTTGGCTCGCCCCTACCCCTCGTCGATCGCTACCCGCCCTCACATATACACATACCCACGTGCCCATGGAACACGGCCTCCCCGCCCCCGCTGCAGGCCCCACCAAGGAAAAGGCGCTTCCGCCCATCCCCCCGGCCGGCGAGCCGCTCATACCGCCCATGTCGCTCCGGCGCAAAAACGTCAAGCAACTCTCGTTCAGCCCCGCGGCACACACTCCTCTGGGGCTGCAAATCTCGAAGGACTTCGAAATAGTAAGCGCCGCCCCCAAAATCCGGGACCCCCAGATGTCAAGGGACGTCCAAATGTCAAGGGACCCCCAAATGTCGAGGGACGTCCAAATGTCGAGGGACGCCCCCCAAATTTCAAGGGACGCCCAGATGTCAAGGGACGCCCCCCAAATTTCAAGGGACGCCCAGATGCCAAGCGCTCAGGACCCCCAAGCCCCCGACTACTCCCGCGAGCTCGGCCGCTTGGCCGCACTCAAGACCCAGCCCCGCAAAAAACACCCGCGCCCGGCGCCGTTGGTCAACATCGCCCACGCGCCCGCACAGACGTCGCCGCAGGACTTGATCGACTCGTTCCACCACTTGGACTTGTCCTCGCGCACGCCCGACATGGCGCCGCCGCCGCCGCTCGTGCCCCGCCAGCGCCGCACGGTCATCAGCCTGCTCTCGCCCACCAAGCTGCCGCTCAGCGGCCTGCCGCTGCCCCGGCCCGCGGCGCTCGGCCTGCCCGGCCCGGACTCGCCGTTGGCCGCCACGCTGGGCTCGCTCAACTTGCGCGACGAGGACTTGGTGCACTTGAAGGACCTCGGGCTGGGCAACTCGGGCGTGGTGCTGAAGGTGTTGCACGTGCCGCTGCAGAAAACCATGGCCCGCAAGGTGGTGCTCGTGGACTCCAAGCTGGCGGTGCAGACGCAGATCATCCGCGAGTTGCGCATCATGCACGAGTGCCGGTCGCCGTACATCATCGAGTTCTACGCCGCGTTCCTCCGCGCCAACAACTCCATAGTCTTGTGCATGGAGTACCTCAACTGCGGCTCTTTGGACCACATCGTGCAGTTGTGCACGCCGCGCCAGTTCCCGCGGCCCGTGCTCCAGAAGCTCCTGTTCCTGATCCTCTGCGGCTTGACCTACCTCTACGACACCCACCGCATCCTCCACCGCGACATCAAGCCGTCCAACGTGTTGATGTCCCACCGCGGCGACTTCAAGCTCTGCGACTTTGGCGTGTCGCGCGAGCTCGCCAGCTCGCTCGCCATGGCCGACACCTTCGTGGGCACGTCCACCTACATGCTGCCCGAGCGCATCCAGGGCCTAGCCTACGGCTTGAAGTCCGACGTATGGTCCATGGGGCTCATGCTCGTGGAGTTGGCCTCCGGCAGGGGCGTGTGGAGCGACGACGGCCCCGACGGCTCGCGCCACACGGGCCCGGAGGGCATCCTCGACTTGCTCCAGCGGATCGTCAACGAGGACTCGCCGCTGCTCACCAACAAGACCGACCCCGTGCTGCGTGCCGCCTACGACCCGGCCTTGTGTGCGTTCATCGACCTGTGCCTTGTGAAGGACGACAAGCTCCGCCACTCGCCGGACGCGTTGCTACGGCACCCGTTCCTTGCGGGCGTCGCGCAGGGCGCCTGCGACAAGGACGTCAAGGCCTGGGCCAAGCACATCCGCAAGCTCCACAAGGAAAAGTGCGAGTAGGCCTCCTGGCTGCTGCCGGCGGGGCATGCCGAAACACGTGTGTGGCGACATGCACCGGGCTGCTGCTGCTGCTGCTGCTGCTGCTGCTGCTGCTGCTGCTGCTGGTAGAAACGACGTGCGCTAGTTCCTTGCGCTGTCTTTTGTGCCGGGCCCTGGCCAGTCGGCGTACTTGGCAACACCCGGTGATTTCAGAACACCAAACTTGGCCTGTGCCGGCATTCATACGACTTCCGGTGCCATTTTTATAACTTCCGGTGCCGTTCTCACATGCTGGCTTGATAACAGCCGGAGTCTCCAGGCCGCAACATTTAGGGTGTTGCTCTTCAGCAATGCTTGGGATCTCATAGAAGTTGGTATCATAGTCTAATAGACCTATACCGACCCCACGACTCACTGGTGGATGCTGACGTGATCCAGGATCCACCGGCTCCCAGGAGTACGGATCCCCCAATGCGCGGGAATCCTAAGAGCCGGTAGTCACCAGTGAAGAAGCACGCATGCGATTTTCGTAAGTGACTAGTGCATGCCGATAGGACAACACTAGTGCCTGGCGGGCTCATGCAGACCGGTATCCATCGCAAGATACCTATACAGAATTCCGCTGTACTGGTCTAACATATATATGTGCATCCATTGTTTCAGTCTTTACTGGCTTATCATATGTGCATCCATTATTTCAGTATGTACTGGTCTAACATATATATGTACATTCATTGCTTCAGTATTTCCTGGTCTAGCATATATATGAGCATCCATTGTTTCAGTATTTCCTGGTCCAACATAGATGTCCATTCATTGCTTCAGTGTTTACTGTTTTAACATATATAAGTGCATCCATTGCATAAATATTTACTGGTTTAACATTGCTTCAGTATTTACTGGCTTAAGATATGTGCATCCATTGTTTCAGTATTTACTGGTCTAACATACATATCTGCATCCATTGCTTCACTATTCACTACATATCCATGCAACGCCTAGCGCCACTGGATAGTTACCCACCAGCCCAATATACTAGCGTCAAGACATCCAAACCTTGTGCAACAACTACATTCGTACGACCCTAGGCATCAGAGCAGATCCATTCTCAGCATTCACAAAGACGTATATGTGTAACTATATACATATAACTCCAATGTACTAGTGCTTGCTCAATACAAAACCAGTTCCCGGCGACTCCATGAATCCATGCTCGCCGTTCAGCGGGCACGCCGGGTTGATGAAAAAGGCAGTCTGTCCAGTCCCACGACATACACGGATCGTGCCATTCGCCAATGCCCGACGAGTCCATGACACCCCACAGGATCGCCACAAGCCCACGCCCATCCCAGCACCCCGCCGTCCCGGCGGCCCGCCGCAGCCCAGGGTTCCTAGAAAATAAACGCATTTAATTCCACGTGGCACGCCAGCCTCTGCGTGTAGAACACCCGCTCGAGCAGGCTACGGGCCGCAAGCATGGCGTTGATGCTGCTTGTTTGCTCACACCCGCTGTGGGCGCCGTGGAAACAGCTTTCGTCCAGGCAAAGAAGAAGGTCGCGGTCGCAGTGGAGCCACGAGACATGGCGCCGGGCCAGCCCCGTGGCCGCCGGCATAGGGGGCACGGTGGCAGGCGCTTTTTGTTGGACGGGTGCCCCGCCGGCCGATGCCAGCAGGCTCTGCGAGTCCGTGGACTCAATGGACTCGGCACCAGACCCGCCGAAGGACAGCGACGAGCTGGAGCCTGCGGTCTGCGTTCGCTCGAGGGTGCATCCGGGGAGCAACAACGGGAAGTCCGCCAAGCACCTGTCGTTGAGCGCGGCCAACGTCGCCAATAACTGCTCCATCAAGAACTTGTCTTTGTAGGAGAGACGAAAGTGGCGGAGCGTGCGGTCGCTTGGGCAGGCGGAGGCCCTGCCGGTGGTGCGGAAGAGGGTGAGCGTGTGCTCGGGGCTGGGCCCGCCGGGGGCCGTGGGCTTGGCGGTGTTTTGGTTTGGCCTGTCGGCAGTCTCTGATTCCAGAGAGGTGTTTGTTGGGTGGATGAAAGTGTCCGCTGTTTGATTGGAAGTTGCTGCTGTTTGATTGGAGGTGACTCCTGCTTGATTCGAAGTGACTCCTGCTTGATTCGAAGTGACTCCTGTTTGATTGGAAGTCTCCGCTGTTCGAGTGGAAGCCCCCCTCTCTTGACTGGCGGCTTCGCTCTCTTCACGGCCGGCTTCCAGCTGTGCACCCCAGATCTTGGCCTGTTCCCTGGCGCCGGCCGCCGCACGGAAACCCGCCTGGCTCGAAGGACGCTCCCCGTGGCACGCCTCCCCCTCGCCACGCGCCCCTCTTTCCACACCTGGCGCCCCGCCGCAAGGAGCCCCGAACCGAACGGCCGCAGCAAAGGCCTCGGCCGCCGACGAAAATACAAGCACGTGCTGGAACCGGCCCGTGTACTTGGCCTCGAGGTCGGGGCGCGCCGCCAACACTCGTATGTCCGTGAACGTGAACATCGAGTGGTCGAGGCGGAAGTGCCGGAGCACCAAGAGGCAGTCGTTGGTCTCCCTCTTGACGTCCCCCAAAAGAAGCAAGACGCGGCAGCGAGGCGCGTCGCGGAGGAGGGCCACCAAGTGGTCCACGCAGAACGAGAAAAACGGAAGCGCCACGTCGAGAAGAAAACAGCAGTCGTGGACCGACACCAGCTCCGGCACCGCGACCAACGCGTGCGCCGGCGACGGCACGCGGATGTAGTCCTGGAGCCCGCCGTCGAGCAGCTGCCCGTAGATAAGCGAGCGCTCGCATGGCGCGCGGCGGTGGGTCTCGTAGGCGTCCAAATCTGAGCCTTGGACCAGCGCACAGTTCTCGCAGAGCGGCACGTGGCGCTGGAGCCAGCACGACGAGTACGGAAACACAAAGAGCTTGTCTTTCGGGCAGAACGTGCGCCGGCCGCTGGTGACGGCGTGGCGCAGCGGGATCTTGCCGACAAACCGCAGCCCGGGCACGGTGCCGCGCCTAGCCGAAAAGTCGCTTGCGAAATTTAGCACCACGTGCTTGACCCGGAGCAACACGCTCGCGTCGTCGGGCGTGATATCGCTCAACGGGATCACCGAGTCCCGGAGCCGGCCCGTGCTAGTGACCACTCGCCGGAGCGGGAGAAGATCCACCTCGTGTTTGCCGAGGTACAGCGTGCGTGTTTGGAGGTCGTTCTTTGGGTAGTGCGCGGGAGGGGACATCAACGTCACTGACGGCGAAGACCCGGCCGCCATTTCGGGCGTGGCTTGCGGGCGGGCGCTTGTTGGGCCGGGCGCCGGGTGCCAGACGGCTGGCTGCAGAGCTGCGGGGCACAACGTGGCGATGGTGCTTGGAGAGCCCAATTGGATGTGTCGTATAACGAGCCTTCCTGTACTGGTGGCAGGTGACGGGGGCTCGGGGTGAACGCAAAACAGCCAGCGGAAGAGAACAGCGTGGCTTGGGAAAGAAAAAAGCGCCGCGGGCCGTGGCAACTCAATCGAACATTCCCGTGGGGGAAGTTCCCAAAGGAGCCCATAAAAAATTGTCCGTGGAATCTCATGCACTCCGCCAGCGATAGCTCGCTTAGTTGGGCAGAAGCCTTGCATGCCGGACCATGCGCCTCGTGAATGCAACGGCGCAAGGCAGGCCCGGGCCGCTCTGGTCGTGCGGGAAACCTGGTAGGAACCTGGTGGATTCGGCCCCTGGTCCCCCGCTTCAGGCTTCACACGCTGGGGTTTCCCTGCCCTGCTTCAAAAGCACCTTGTTTTTGCAAAAATCCCGGAACCTGTGACCGCGGACCGAATCGTTCTGGGCCCCATGGCCGCATCTTGGAAGCGTCTCAACTCAAAGCCGTGCCTGCTGAAACAATGAGACATTTTCACAGGCATCAAACGTGCCACAATGAGTTTCGGAAGGAGAGGAACAATGAAGCCTCGCTCTTCCTTTAGCAAAGCCTCAGTCGGATGGATGCTCAGCCGCTCGATGCTCAGCCGCTCGGCCGGCTCCGCGGCCCCGAGGTCCCAGGGTCCCCAGAGCGACGGCTCGTCGTCACTATACGCAGACACGCGGGGCATCGTGGCTCAAAACAAACCTCGTGTTAACCTATCTCCAAAATCTAAGAACCACTCGTACGTACGCTACCGCCCAGCCACGCACGCCAAAGATCCAGGAGCAGGTTGCCATTCCGCGGCCCGACCCCATGCGCTGGCTGACGAGGACTGGGCCTGCACATGCGCGCGTGCCGTGCGTAAAAATGCCCTTTTTGGGGGATTGTTTGCATAGAAGTGCCTCAGCCGGCGATTTCCATGCTCGATTTCGAGAACCGCGCCCTTGCGTCACCCCCTCCGCGGGTCACCTCCTCCAAGCGTGCATGCGAGTGGTGTGGCACAAACTCTATAACAACGGTGCCGAAAGCATGACTAAATCGTGCATGGCCGTGCCTAACGGCGGCCGCGCACGGCGCCGTTCTCTATTTCCCCCTCAGCCGCTGGGCCCTGGCCACTCGCTCCTCTTCCTCCAAAAGCAGTAGTTTCATCGCCTCCTCCATCATCCGGTCCTCGAGAGACATGTAATAGCGCGGGCTGTGGCCCGCCCTGCTGCGCGAGGACGAGCCTTCGTCGTTCATGATCAAGTTCGACGCATGGATGGCACTCGCGGCGGCGGCCTTCCTGGCGAGCCTGCTCTTGGCAGCGGCAAGTTTCAGCTCCCATTCCGGGCGGATGGCGTCGGTGGTGATTACCGCGTCCGATTCCGCAGCCACTGAGGACCTGCGTCTGGGCTTGCGCGGGCTGGCGGGCGGCGGGGCCCTTGCCTGCGGGTCGGCGCCGTCGACAAACTCCACAGACTCCTCCGCGTCTTCTGGGATGGACTTGATCAGCGACTTTTCCGAGTACTCGCTGGGCTTGCAGGCCGCGCCGCGGCCCACGTGCACGTCGCCGGGCGGGTCGTACGTGACGCCGAAGTCGGTCATGGCGCAGTACGGGCAGTGGGCGGGCTCGGAGATGAGCGTGTGGGGGAGCTCGCCGGGCAGCGGCAGCGCGGCGTCGTCGTGAGGCGGGTGCGGGTCGAGCCGCTTGATCTGCACGAAGCACTCGGTGCAGATGGGCTGGCGGCAGCAGCGGCTGTAGTTGAGCGGGCACGGGAAGTAGAGAAAGCAGATCGGGCACTCGGCCGCGCCGCGGTAGAGCCGCAAGACCAAGTCGCGCGAGGCAAGATCGGGGTCGGCGGCGTCCGCGGCGCCCGCGGCGGTGCGTGCGTCGAGGTACTCGGACTCACACTGGCGCTGCTGCTCGGCCACGCGGGCAAGCATTTCCTGGAGCCGTTTTCTCTGCTCCTGGCGCTTGTGGAGGTTCAGCGGGCGGCGGATCTTGTGGTCCTCCAAGTCGTCGGGCTCGTCGTCGTCGCCGTACGCGGCGTCCAACGCGTGGAGAGGACTCTGGCGCACCAAGGCCACGAGCTCGTCGTCGGTCCACGACGCGTCAAAGTCCTGAAGCGGCGTGTAGAACGGCGCGAGCCGGCGCTCCAAGACGAGGCGCCGCACGACCTGCGTGTCGAAGTCGAGGTTCAGCTTGTACGTGCCGAACGGCGCCAAGTAGCCGCCGTCGGCGTTATCGCGGAACCGCACCACGAGCGCCATGGCGTGTTGTTCCTTGGCGCGGAGCTTCTCCTCGGTCTTGCCGCCGGCCTTGCCGGACGCCGCCTGCGAGGACAGCATGGTGTGGCGGCGGGGGTTCCGGGCCCCGGACACCGCGGAGTGGCCGGTGCCGAAACTCAGGAGAGACGACAGCCGCGGACGCGCTTCTTTGGTCGGCGTGTTGCCCATTTGTGGTTTTGTGTTTCTTCTTTTTTTTGCGTGTGTTAGTCTAGGTGTGCAAAAGCGGCACGGGCGGTCCACGTGACAGGCCCGGGGCACAAACGGGGTTTTGGGCGTGGCTCGTGGGCGGGAAACCGAAAAGACAGGAAGCCGGGGAGATTCGGTGGGGTAGATCTACAGGGGGCCGGCGGCTAATGGACGGCGGCTCGGCTCACAGATCAGGAACGGCGGGCGCGCGGGAAAAGGCTGCAAAAAAAACAAAAACAAAACTGCCAGATGCCGGTTGCCGCTGGCTGGGAAATTCGTGGGTTGCTGGAATAAAGCGGTGCTTCGGATGGCAGCCGCTGAAATGGAGCTGGGTTTCCCCGGAGCTCGTTCCGGCACAGCCGTGGCCGCGCAGGCCGCGGCACGTGACCTGCGTTTGCCATCGTGTGGGGATCTGCTGGCGGACCGGCGCAGCCTATTTGCAAGCGCACGACGCGATTTGCTTGGGCGCCCCTTTTTGTGCCTCTGTGCCGCTGTAGCCTGTGTTTCGTGGTTTGCGGTTTTTGGTTTGTGGTTTGTGTTTTTGGTTTGTGTTTTTGGTTTGTGGTTTTGGTTTTTGGGTTGTGGTTTGTGTTTTTGGTTTGTGGCTGCTGTCTTTTTCGGTTGTCTTTTTCTATTGTCTGTCCCAGGATTCCTGCCCAATACGGACGCAGGAAAAGGCAGGGTTCGGACAGTGCCCTGGCGCTCTCGCTAAGGCGCAGCTGGTTTGCGGTCACGTGGAGCACCGCGCGCGGCCGGGGCTCCATGCCATGCTTTATTGGTAGGCCATGTAATAATAATATTAGGGTTATCTGTATAAATATACGTGGAGTTAGCTAGAATTTATATAATCAACCCCAAGGAACAAGAGACTCTCGCGCTCCTATGAAAAAACTCTTTAGTACTCCATGGGCCAAGCGTACAATGTGCAGTCCCATGCCAGCAACAGATCAGAGATCATGCCAGTCGTTGTAGAGAATGCCAGTTTATTTCAAATGCCCAGTCTATTTAGAAGGCCCAGAAGGCCCATTCTTTTTAAAAGGTCCATTTTTTGGGAGAGCTATCTTTTCTGGAAGGCCCGCTCTTTTAAAGGCCGACTCACTTCTAAATGGTCCATTCATTTCTTTTAGTAGACCCATTTCAGACTTATTACAAGGCACACGCCATACTTGTTCAAGGCGCATGGCCTTCTTTTTAAACCGTCCATGCCTTTGGTCCAAAATGCCCATGCCATTGTTCCGAAATGCCCATGCCATTTTTTATACAGAAGAACATGTGATCTATAAAGCCAGCTTGTAGAAGACCATCCATTGGCAGAGTATATCTGCTAGTAACATGTGGAGTAGTCATTGGGATGATGGCGTGCAGCAGAGATTTTTATTAAGCATTAATTTGTATAAGTGATGCTGTTCATAATGCTGAGTTGTTCACAGAGAGGCGGTCTTCAGAGAATCTGTTTAATTATCGTTTGCGGAGGTCAGACTCTTGTTCAGCATATATCCCATAGTAATAGCAGCGCACCCGCTCGTCAAGATATTCATCAGCATTAACACCTTACCAAGCCGCTATCCGCGAAAGGCGCTCATTATGCTATTGGCAGAAACTGTTTATTAGGCCAACAGCGCACGCCATATTCTCAAGCCATCAATGGTCGCATATTACTCTGTTCCCCAGTGAAAGCCACATACCACGTTGCTCCTCACGAAAGCCGCTTTTGAACCTGTAAATCAACGGAACTGTTTTGGATCGGCACACGTAGTGGCGCAATCAGTTCATTAAGCCATTTGTCCGGCTATAAACGGAGGCCGCTTTTTCCGTCTTCTCTGTTCATCAATTCCGCAGTTAATTAAGATGCTCGCACAAGCCGACCCTCGATTATTAGTGAAATGTGCTAGTCCAGCAAGTCATCCGTGAAGTCGTTTGTGGCGCCACTTCAAGCGAAAGCCAAGTTGAAGGCCGTCTGCAGAAAACGCCGCTTGTTGCGCTTTTTATCAATGCAACCTGGCTCGTAAACCATGAGTGTAACCACCTGATCAAGCCGGTCATCAGTCGAAATGGCGTTCCATCATGAAGCACCGATGCAGAGCCTTCCGGCTGTACAGAGCAACGACACAGAAGACAAGCCAATCGGTCCATCCCCAGTGCAGCACCGGTACCAGTGCCCAGCCACTTGCCAGGGAAGACTCCCAATGGCTTGTCGGGCCCTGGGCTCCTTTTCATTTTTCATGACTCAAGCTTCTCAAAGCCCACGAGCCCTTTCAGTGCTAGCTCCCACTCAATCCGACGCCGAAGCCGACGGCTATCATGGCAAAAATGACAACCACCCATGCAATGCCCAACGCCAAGCTAGCTAGCTTTTGCACCCGCGTGTACCGCCGCTGGAAGCGCCAGTTGGCCAGCGTCGTTTTCGCCTCCAGGGCAAAGCGCCAGTCTGCTGCCCCCGAGATCCCTGCGTGGTCAAACACTCCTAGTGGGAGGAGAAAAAACACGGGCACGGCCACAAGTGCGCATAGCATCATCATGAGCCATTTTGACCACGGCATGCTGAGCGACCTTTCGTGCTGCGCGGGGTTCCAGAACCCCGCCTTCTCGTCATGGAGCATGCTCTCAAGGCTCTGCAGCTCATCGGAGGAGTCACGTGTGAACGACGGGGCCGGCGATGAGACTGGCTGCTGGACAGGCCCCTCGCTCACGCCACTATGCCGATCGATTGGTGACTTTTCTGCATTTCCAGGCACATGCCCGAAACCATGACTGGCTCCTCCTGCTGAGCCCCCAATTCCGCCGCCAACTGCCCCGTGCCCGGTCCCGGCGATGCTTTCCTTGAAGCTGCGAGGCACGCCCGGCGCAGAGCCAACAGGGCCTTTGCCTGGATTCGGAAAGGGCGTGCCGGAGCCAAGCAAGTTGCGATTGGCATTTCCAGCGGCCTTGGGCATCAGACCCGGGGCTTTTTTGCCCCGATGGCCCGCCGCAGTTTCGAGCAGGCTGGTGCTGGTGCGGTACGCGAAGTTCCGTGCCTGTCCCAGGTGGCTCTGTCCCGGGATATGCGCTGCTTTCATGCCCCGGGGGCTATCGCTCAAAACATCACTACTGGCCCTCAGTGCAGGGGCCGATTTCCAGCTGGATGGCGAGTTGGACTGCGTCAGTACCGAAACACGACGCGCGAGGCGGGTGCCGTCCCTGATCTGCACCGGAATGGCCGACGAGATTCGGGCTGTGGGCGTTTGCGATTTGGGCGGTTTGTGGACAGCAGCGCCCCGCTTGGAGGGGGCTTTGTCGTGCGCCGCGTAGAGCATTGTTGGGGTGTCGGTGTTCAAATCTGCGCCCACCGTTAGAGACTGTAGAGCGACCTCGGAACTCACCGAGTTGGTGTTGCTGTTGCGCGTGCCGTCGTACAAGCTGGCGTTTAATTGACTGAGCAACTCTCCGCTGGAGAGAGACGTGTCGGTGTCTTTGGAGATCAGAGAGATGTGCTTCTCAGCAGAGTCTACGACCTGCGTGCGCTGCACGGCTGGGGCACGGGAGTCAATGTGGGCCGCGTCCCGGATTTCCGCTGCCGACAAAGAAATTGGGCCCAAGGGTCGCCCAATGGCGGGGTCACGTGTGGGGCGTTGCAGTGGGGATGCGGCCGGTGCTTTGTATGTATCCATTGGGTCCGCTTGTGCCGGACGCTTGTTCCTCCCATGCGATGCATGCATGCTGGAGACAGCCTCGACCTCGGAATTCACCAATGCTTGCCGCATGGCTTCAGGATGCCGAGCATTTTGTGCATCGGCCCTGTCGAGATCTGCACTGCGGCCTTCCTGCGGTGTGCTGGGAGAGTCGTTCGCTGGCTTCGAATCCGAAAGCGCTGCTTCAGTCGAGCCATGAGAAACCAGGGAATTATCGAATTCCTCGTTGAACCGGAAGTTCTGTCTGTGTGGATCGTATTCTTGGATCAAAGAATAGATCGACTCTGCGGCCTTCGTTTCCTCGTCGGTGAACAAGGACGCTCGCGATGAGTCCGAGTCTGCAAACTCCTCGGCCTTAACAGGCTCTCGGCCAAACTGAGACGGGGTGTCGGCCAGAAAAAAAGAAGTTTTCGAGGCGTTCCAAGAAAATGAACTGCTGCCACGCGCTCTTTCCGGACTCCGAGAAGACGATCGAAGAAGTAGAGAAGATAAGGAGAGTCGGAACGACCTGCGCGACGCCCTAGCATCGACAGGAGTGGATTCTCGTTTTGACATGTATTCTTTCTTTTGTGGGCATTCACGTGTTTCTATGGGCGTGGGTATTTTGGCAACGTGCTGCAACAAAAAAGGTTGGTTTCTTCAGTGTCCGCCAAGGTAAGCGAGAGACAAGGACGGACAGGGAAGGACGAATTAGACACAGAGACCAAGTTCTTTTCGTGATAAGCGGAGAGTCTGATTCGGGCTGGGGTGGAATAAATTGCCGGCTTGATCTAATTGAAGCTCAATTGAAGAAGTCTAGAAAAGATTGTGCCTAAAAGGTGCGGGAGAGCCATACTCTCATTCGTTTACAAAATGTCCTGATGCGGAAAATAGGATGCATTTTCTTGCAGGTCGAGAGAGTTATCTGGCTGCGATGGCCTATACATAGAGTCAAACTTTCCTAAGGAGGTTAATTACAGGCGCCTGCTCCGGCAGACAACTCTCGCGCGGTATGGAAGTTCAAGCGCGCCACAGCTCCATTCTGAATGACACCACCTGTAAGCGGTTAAAGACACTGAGCTCTTGAAATGGGGACGGCAATTTGAGGACTTGCTATTACAGCCAGAATTAGTCCACGTTCCAACTTCTCTTTGCCGAATCTGAATGTATTCTGCCACAACACAGAAAAGTCCTCGTAAACGGTGACTGTTTTCTTGCACTTGTGATGATCACATGATCACCTCCGCTTGTAAAATATTGATTGTCCTTGGACGTAGTCTACTGCCTATACTTTGACACATGAAACAAGAAAACATCTCCTGTTCATTAAAGAAACTTTGATGGTCATTTTGGGCGGCTATTTACTGATTTTGTGACTGTTACAAGCACTCGCTAAGCAGATACTATAAGTGTGTCGATAGAACGCTCCAAGTAGCCAACAAAAAGGTACAGGAGACCGTCCAATTGCTTTGTAGCCTCCAGCTTCTTTGGCAGCGAATTCTTGTTTTACGTAACCACCTGATATTCTGCAACTCTTGGACTAAAGTAGCATTCACTTGCTTTGATCTTTGCGAATGCAAAAGTTCGAGACCATGCCAGGACTGAACTCATGTCTCATTCTGCGTTTTTAGTATAGGAACAGCTTCCGAAACGAATCTGATGAACGAGTAGGATATATTTGACAAATAACCCAAGCAATCATGTTGTCTATATGTGTGATGTCCTGGCTGATGTGCAAATGAATGACATAGAAAAGCATCTTCCGTTTGCTTTTCATCGTTTGAGCTTTACGGCGAAAGATGGTTGAGTCTCATTTGATCACAGTTCTTTGTCTTAGTTCGCACAAGCGGTCTAATTATCAGCCAACAGTGATATATAATGTGATGATTCTTCGCCCTGTTTGTCACCAAAAGACGTCACAACTGATATATTTGCCAAGCGCTCGAGAATACCAGATGAGAATTCGCACCAACTCAACAGCAGATATTCGCTAATTATATAGAAGCAGTCCATATGTTATGGGTCTGAATTTTCCCAAACTCCGCCCCGCTAACCACTGATACTTGACTATCGGCCATTCCCGGTAGAGTATATTTATCGTCAGTGTTGAAGCTACGTTGGGGTGTCACCCTAGCCACTCATCTCTTCAGGAAGAAACTCATAACAGAGGCTTGCTTCTTCTTCCCGTCAGTCTTCTTTGGTTGTTTGGTGGTAGCAGCCTGGATTTTTGGTTGTCTCTTGACCGGTGCAGGTTTGGGTTCACTTTGCTTGTACAGGGTGAAATATCCATCATCGTCCACGGTCGTTTCAGGAGCTGGACTGGCAGGTTTTGCGGTGGAAGAGTCTGGGACCGGGGAAGCGGATGACATCGATTTCCAGATATCATTCTTGGGTAGCAGCAGCGCTTGCGGTATCTCCGGCTCTGCAGGTTCTTCCATGGGTGCATCGCTTTGCTCATTCTCGGTGTTCTCAACCACAATTGGCTGATCAACTTCCATCTCCAGGGCCCCGTCCACTTTCTCATCGTCTGTGAAATCGTCGAGAAACATTTTGTGAAGCTCGCTCTCGGTCACCGTTGGTTTTGTCAGCGGTGGCGCGTCTTCCATGAGCTCATCTGCAACCTCGTTTTCGTCGCCCTCGGTGGACACCACAACTCTCTCTTTGGGCTGCAGTTGCTCCAATTTTCTAGATTTATACTCATACAGCGGTCTGTCCAGCAAAGCCCTTTTCGGAGCTCCCAGGGCTTTTCCAGTGGTACTGTTTTTCTCGCTCTTCCGTGATACATAAGACGAAAGCAACGACGATTTGGGTTGCTGCTTGCGAGACTGGTAGACCAACTTCGGTTTCGGCTTTTCTGTCTCATCTGTTGGCGTGGATTGTGATTTTGTCTCTTCAGATTCAGTAGGCCTCAGCTGGGCCGTGGCATGCGACTTGGGAATGGTGCTTGGTGCCGCTCTTGCCTTCAGACATCTTTCGAGGGTAGGTCCTTGTATGAGCCCCAAGTCCCAGTAAGTGTCCAACGCTTCAAGATTCGTGCAATGTATCCTCTCTTCCATGGCAATAGCCACCAGAGTGAAAGAGTTGGTGTTTGCCAGCAAGCTATATACATGCACGGTGTTCACCGAATCGAAAAAACTGTCACAGTTTTCTGTAAGATCAGCCTCGCTCTCAAACACACGTACTGCAAGATTTCCAAGACGCGTCCCGGTAGCGACGAAAGACGCAGCGACACGCGTCTTGTTGGCCTGGTAGTAGTTCAGAAGCATGGCTTTAGATTTGGACACGTGGATGCCCAAGTCACGTGCGGCTGTGTGATACGTAACAACATGGCTTTTGAGTGCACTAGAGATGTACTCAACGTGTTCTTTGGCGATATCCATGGCTGGTGATCTTGATGGTATAGCTTGCCTGCGGATGTACGCGAAAATTGAAAGTATATAGAACGCGAGTGCGCGTTGAACCCAAAGCTCTTGAAGTTGAGGAATCTGGTGGCTCCCGTATATGAGACAACGAGAAAGCCTTGAATTTTGAAATTATCAAGGACATTATTCTCAACAATAGATGAGGAGCTGGTGAGTAGTCGCTTTTCAATGTCGCTGTTTTTCTGGAGCCTCCAATTGTTGAACTTCCCAAGTAATGCGGGAGAACCTAGGGTGGTGTGCGCTTTGCATAAGTGAAGACCCGAGACGTTTGAATATTTGGGGAGGCGATGTATCAGACAATACAGTGTTCTCAACAGGCATGCCTAATCTCGGTAAGCGTGAGAGGCGGGGATAAAATGTGCACCGTTCCCAAGTGTCTCCTGGAACGTTCAGTGATTGTCTTCAAAAGGTTAAAGAGGAATACATCGAAACTGTTGCGCCATCCTCGCAGACATTATTTTGTTCGACATTTGTTAAGTATTTCTGTCTCGCTTTTCTGTCTAAATCTCAAACAGCAGTGCACTGTATCATATAGACCTACACACTTTCGAGGTGATGTAGACCAAAAGTGCGGGGCTCAAAGTTCAGAACCCTAATTATCAATTACCTTTGGAAACTTAGAGGAAAAAGGAGGTTATTAGAAACTCCAGTTAAGCCTTTCCTTTCTTCAAGTTATGAAATTTTACAAAAAGAATACGTGAGGCTCCAGGGCTTTTATTTCTGCGCAAAACAAAAAAGATCCTGGACGAGTCCGGATTTGAACCGGAGACCTTTCCCATGCTAAGGGAACGCGCTACCAACTGCGCCACACGCCCATTATTGCGCTTTCAAACACTTTTCAAAACTATATTCATTAACATCATAATTCTCTTCATGTTTCAAAGCTTACAAATTCGAATTCATTCATGCACTTGTAAACTGACTATCGAGTCTCACTATTTTTTATTCGAGCAAAAAATACACTGGTACGTAGCTGGGAGTTGTCTGAAGCTTTTTTATATATATATTTTATATAGTTTTGCCCCTTCAATCAGATGAATCTACCAAAAAAAAAAATGCCAAAGAAATATCCTTGCCGTGAATAACGGAAGGGGATAGATTGCTTTTCGGCCCTATCTCTCCAGTGACACCCTATAATATGATGTTTCTCTAAAAAACATGGACTTATTTAGGAGCTTTTGGAAGTCTTCTTGTACAATAGTTGATAATTTTGCTCCTTCAAAAAGATGAATATATCAAAATACAATATGCTGGTTAAAAACCATGTGTCAATATTATATTCTTCTGTTTCTTGTGTCAGATTAAGCCAGCTAGGTAATTCTTTTACAATATCTCGTCTTGAGGGTTTTTTGGAAGACGGTGCTGGTATTCAAAAGAGATTTTGATGTAAGTAAAATTATGGCAGACCATCCCATAATGTTAAACTTCCAGAACGTATGATACTGTTGTCGATTTGAAGATTCAGTAATGGCTTCCCGTCTTTCATACCAATGCTCTTCATAGATTCAACATCTCCGAAACACGCTCACCTTTACTGTATAATATACCAGTGATAAAGCATTGGTTTGCTCAAGGCACATAAACCAAAAACTATTTCATTAACTCAAAAATATCAATGTGCTTCAAAGAAAATAGGATCAAAAACAGTTTTCTCAGCGGTATAAAGCTCAGTTCTTTCTCTTGTATGCCCGGCATAAAAGTGGATATCCCATATTCAATCCTAGTTCATTCAAGTAAAGTCTTGTGAGTAATGCTCGCTTTCTTGAGTTAGGTTTGAATATTGGTGTTGAAATATTCCTCATATTTCTTCTAAACTAGCTCGCTCATCATTTTGCCTCTTGAGATACTGTCATAATCTTTCGATTCCAAAATATTTTTGGATTATGAATTTTACAATATGACCAAACCAGACAAATAAAATGTAATTAGAGTATCACTGCCTTTTTTTCAAGGCATTCAATGGGCTGAGAAGTCAACATTTATATGACAAGAATAGTGGCCTATGAAAAATCTTGTCACGCAAAAATTGCTCTTCCGCATTACTCATTGACATGTAAGCCCCGTAATAAATTCCCTCTGATGCTCTAAATCTTGCTACGTATTATTTATTGGCCAACCCAGCCCCTTTCCAAGTTCTTGCCGATTATTTATCGATCTGTTACCGAAGTATATACACATTAACCAAATTTAAAACTAAACAGGAAGATCAACCTTAAATAACTATCTGAAGATGACTCGAATGTTACACTGGTGAAAATACAACCTCGCAAAATTGAATCATCATGAAAAGCCTTTGCGTGAATTGGAATTGACCTTCAAAAAGCCAAACCGTTATTTTCGACAGAAACAAGTAAATAATGGAAGTGAAGTAGTCTGCACCTCTAATAATGGAAGCAAACGAATTGATTTATATGTCTATTTTCATTCCCAACTCACATTGATCGTCTTATTTTCAGACTTGTGAACCTTTGAAAGGTGTTGAATCTGATCATCACCCCTTTTTCTCCAATTTAAAAGCTCCAATCAGACGCAGTTTTATGTCAAGCCATCGTGTGCCATCTACAGAGTCTTTCCTACATCATTCCGGATTTCGATTTGATGAATCATTAGAAAGAAATAAATACAAATTATATATATTTGAGGTCACGCATTTTAGCAATTTTCGTCAATGACGCCCTCTTTCCACTTGGAAATATACTTTTTTCTCTCTTCCTCTCTTGCTTCAAGAGATCCACGGAGTTCGCCGTCAACCATTTCGTCAGTGACGCCAGAAGAAATTAACGATTTCCATGTGCGCAATCTTTCGAACCCGTTTCTAGCCATTTGATAGTCCAGGAAAGCCTGCTGAATTCTTTCTCTACTCGTAGCAACGAATGGGCCATGTTGAACCACCTTTTGGTCCAAAATTTGCCCGCCAATTAACACGAATTCAAGGTCTTCTTTCTCTGTTTCAGAATAGTCCCCAGTGATGTGATCTCCATCGGGGTTGAAGAAAACATTCTCGTACTGTGAGACTTTGGTGTTTTTCTGCAAAATCAAGTTATTTCCTTTCATCACGTATAGGAAAAAGTTAAAGGAGTTTGGAATTTCTTGAGAAAAGTGAGAGCCAGGTTTCATCATGTAGTGATAGTATTGCACTGGGGTATATGCCAACTCCTTGAGCAGCTCGACCCCATAGCTCTTTCCCGAAATGACACGAACCTTCACCTTCCCTTCTTGTTGCTCAACTGTCGGAATCTCCCATGTTTTAAGATCCCTGTACCTCGGTTCAACCTCCTTCAACTTCTCAGGCAAGTCAACCCAAAGTTGCAAGCCTGAGTTGAAAGACCCATCCGGATGGATAACGGGCATTTCGCTATGTACCGTACCTCGTCCAGCAGTCATAAACTGCAAATCACCCTCCCTCAAAACGCCTTTGGATCCTGTGAAATCCTCATGGGCAAATGCGCCTTTGGTCATCAATGTGATGGTTTCCTGGCCTAAATGAGGATGTTCTGGGAAGCCACCCACCCCGTTCGAGGAGAAGTGGTCAAAGAGAAGAAACGGGCTGAAGCTCCTCATTTTTATGTTGCCGATCGATCTTCTGACTGTGGCACCAACGCCTTCGGCTTGTTCGATTCCAGGCAATATAGTTTTGATCGTTCTAAGTGTAGACATGTTTATTACTTGTGTTTGGTTGGGTGTGGTAAAAACGGGGAGTGACTTCTATGCCGTTGAAATGAACGCTTCTTATACTTCAGAGAAAAGGGATTTGTAGACTTTGCTTAAAAATCAAAATTGAACCCACTGGCACCAATTAGTATCACATTACAAACTAATAGTCACGACCGCACCGTTCCAACCTTCTTCGAATGCGTTTAGTAATATTTAGTAAACGCAAGCAAACGTCTATATGCACTCCCGCCCGTTTGAATGGGAATGGTGCACGGGTGCGGAATGCACGCTGATGAAGACCCTATCATCATAACGCCCTTTAGTACTTCGGTCCTTAGAGTTATGATTGTTTCTACTATAGCTGAACCATAGAGTTTTACTTGCTTCTGTGAAAACGTCTATTTTCTTCGTCTCACTTGTGCCAAGGTCGACACTAGCTTAACCAGTCGCATAGGCAATCACTGCCGACTATTGAATTTACTTCTTGCGAGCGAAAGTGTAAACAGTAGGAAAGATGATGTCGATCGGCGCCATATCATCGTGAATGCCCAATGCTTGGCTCACTTCAGCAACCAATTGATCCGCGGCATCGGGCTTGTCCGGGTACTGCTTCTTCCAGTTATGGTAGCCACTCCAACTGTGGATCAAGGCTCTGTACGTTTTCAAAGTAAGCTTCTTTTCGATGAAGAGAGTCGTGTGCTCACGCCCGTGCTCATAGGGGTGGTAATAAAGCCGGGTCACGTGACTGAACAATTCGCCCGGTGGGCTCACTGTCGACATCGCGTCTCCATACAAGTCGTGGCCAGGCTGTTCGTAGAGAGGCCCGAAGTACTTCTCGTAGTCTGAACCTTCTTTTTCGACCGAGGAGTCCCACGAGTATTTGCGGTGGATTTCCGTGGCCGCAGGGCAGTCCACAAAAACGGGGTCCAAGTAAAACCAGTAGGCCAAAGTTCCCCCACGCTTCAAAACACGAGCGCACTCCGCGAAGAATCTAGGATGGTCCATCCAGTGACACGCTTCTGCAGCGGTGATAACATCCACCGACAGGGCTGCAACAAAGTCAGGAGACTTTTCGGCGGGAGCAGTGTGAAACTCAATTTTCCCATTTTCGGGCCACTGGTTGCGGCGAGATTTGCACTCGGCAATCATGGTGGCCGACAAGTCGGTGCCGATCACGTGGTCAAAGTACTTGGTCAAGTGGAATGCCACGAACCCAGGGCCCGTGAACACATCCATTGCTAGCGAGGTGACATTTCCCGAGTGCGCTTTGTGAAAGGCCACCAAAGTCTTGTAGAACTGGTCTGGGTAGGTGGGTCTCGCCGAGTTGTAATTTGACGAATCAAAGGCCTGTTCAGAATACGTAGTCATTAGGAGAGGTGTCCTTTTCCGCCACTTAAAAATAGAAACGTGGCTCGAGTGTTTGAAGTTCTTTTTTTTCACTGACACTGATGTATAACAAGAACAATGATTTTGAGGTTACGCTGGTTTGTGCGCTTTAAATAGAAAGACTTATTATTTACATTAAATTATATGTTGTGACTGTGCGATTGCGCGCCGGTTTCGGAGCGAATGGGCCTGCACTGGCCGATTGATAAAGGGGCATTAGTCTCCCGCAGTCGTAAAGTACGATCAAAATATGCTGAATAAGAGCGTTTCAGGAGTCTGGCAGGCTTCGAAAACTTCCTTTTTGTCTTCGGCTGTAAAACACTCTATGTTTCATTTGAACCAGGGCGAACCCCAGAAGTTTTCCCAGTAACTTGTAGTCACACAACTGAGTCCAGTTAGCCTAGACTTGACCTCGTGGAAATTGCGCATTGGATCCCGTAGACTTCACGATATTTGTGCCCCATGACTCGAAAGGGGGAGATCATGACAGGCTCTTAAACCCCGGCTTTGTCCTAGTTGTTTGTTCTTGAAAATAGTGATTTCGCCTGATGAGCATATCATTGCATCTTTTTTGATATCTTGGCTTGCGTCTCCAGAATATCGCTGTCAGTGCTATCGGACGCTGCCATGTCCTTGCTCAGTTTGTTCTGTTTTCTCTTTTCCAAGAACTCTTTGTACTTCTGCAACGTGATTTGCTTCTGGTGTTCTTGATACTCGCTGACAAATTTGTACTGGGTGTCCGTGAGTTTATCCCAGAAAGTGAAGAAAGGCTGTGAGTAGTTGGAACGGAAGCCCCAGTTCTGGTGGTGAATGTCGTGGTACAAAGCGTTGTTAGGAAACAAAAACTGGAACGGGTCGAAGGGGAATCTGTAGCCGCAGTGGTCGTCTACAGTCTTCATGGTCGCAAAAGTGTAAAGAACCAACGACTCTCTGGGACTGAGCGCAAGAACAATGGCAGCGAGCCCGGTACCCGCAGTGTCTAGCAAAAAGCCCTCTACCGGGTCGTTATAAAGAGCACCATAAGAGTAAGGCACGTGCAAGCGATGATGCCGGGAATGGAAGCGGCGGTACAAGACTTTGTTTGTGTGCATGGTGCGGTGGAGCCAATACTGCCAAGTGTCTATGATACAGAGCGCAATGGACAACCGGAGCAACGACCACCCGTACATGTAGCCATACCATACAAAGGAGTCAGGAACAAAGGTAGGAAACAAGGTTTGCCTCAAGTTCCACATACTATGAAGTTCGTGGCCCGTTGTCGGAAGCTCGTCGTACCGATAGACTGCATACCCAACGATAGTCTGGATTATGTGCTGGATGACGACGTCATATAGCACGTCCTTAAGGGACGCCTTGTTGCGTGCCTGTTCCTCTTCGCTCGGGTGGATACGGTACTTTTCCGCCAACTCGTAAACATCGATGATATGGAAAAAGGTAGCGTAGGTCCAGTACGCAATCACGGGCGAAAGAAGCGCCAAAACGCCATCCGAGATACCCGGAATCAAGTCCGGTTTCTTCATGGCAAAACTCACGGGTTCGTGAGGAGATGCAAGCATCGAAGAGAAGTTTTGTGGGGGAGCAAACATCGTGGATGGGTTGAGATGGCCTGTGTGGAAATCAACCGTGGGACAGTGGTTCAAAAGTTTTTAGATGTGAAAACAACAGCAGACCCGGAATGTTTCAAATGAGCGAGAGTCTGAAAGTGAGCGAAGTTCAATGTGTCTCGAAGAAATGTAGTGTGCTCTGCCGGAGTCGTCTTTCTCTCCCGGAGGCAAATTCTGGTATTTACGAGGTCTAGGATTTGATGAAAGAATGCAAGCTAGAATCCCTGGAATTTCACAGGATGTCAAAGTGTGCGATGTGTCTGCTTGTGATAATGCTGATGCTTCTCGTAATTGTTTGTTGTCTAAAAATCTTAGCAAGGTTCGGTGCCAGGGGCCTTAAAAGCTTTTAGTACCTAGAGGGCTGACTGCGGGAACTCGCGACAAAAAATGATCGGGCACGGGCTTCGGGTTCCAAAGGCCTGTTTGAGATTTAAAGTTATTGCCTGGGCACAGGATAAAATTGGCTTGCGACGGTGTTCTTGGCCAGAGGTAAATGATTCCAGCGTCGTTTTTTTGGTACCTCTGCCACGTCTCTACTAGTGTCGATTAGTCTGTTTCTATTAAGCGGATGCTGGTCTTCGCGCGTTCCGTGTTCCAGAGCAAGCCGGGTTTACTTAAAGTGCGAACATCGGTCCACTTGGTCACGAGTTTCTTGTATGCCAATATGCAAAATCGAACACCTATGTTCCGCTACCCCTGAAGTTCCATTAGTCGTTACAAAAAGAGGCAGTACATTATGATTCTATGGGTGCTTGATGGGATCATGGCTATTTTTTGAGTGCAAGACAAGTCCATGGTTTTCATTTGTTTCACGTCCTGCAGCTTCACATCCGCTCGGGGCAGAATTTGGTCTGCATGCCTTAGAGGGCCCCAGAACATGCGCTTACTAACCTCCGCCCGAATTAAAGGGGAAACTCTTTCGGGATCTAGAGGAAATGAACGTTTTTCGCGAGCTGCCGCCTGATATATGCCGGCAATCGAGAGATCTTTTTCGTGCCTGGCCTTTCCCTGGCCAAAACCGTAGTTCCTTTTTGATAAATCAAAAAACAGTCTGATATCTCATGAGCAGCACACGTGACCCGGTACCATAGAACACACGTTTGGTTTTGCAACATGTCTTCTACATTAACCTCCAGGTCCTGGTGTCTAGTATACAGCACCCTCGTGCTCTAGAGTAGCAGCTCGCTTACCGACTAAGCGCACGAAGCCATCTTGAAAGAATACGAGTTGACCACTGTTTGCTCACGTGACGAAGTGTTCTCAGAACACCAGAAAGCTCGCTGTGAACAGGCCCATCTACAACACCATACAGCAATATGTCCAAACTAAGATCCAGTGGAGACGACATATGGGATAATGGAACTGAGAAAATAGTATGTTGAAGTTCAAGCCTCGGTATTCTTTCAGAAATGTGTCCTTGATACTAACACGCCCAAGAACACCGAGCTTTTGACGCTTACGTATGGGTCGGTGGTGGCACAAATGTGCCGCGATTTCAATCACAACTACCTGGAAGTCAACCAACAGCTAGACAAAATGGGATATAATATTGGCGTCAGGCTTATTGAGGAGTTTCTCGCGAAAACGGGCGCACAGCGGTGTTCGTCTTTCCGTGAAACAGCAGACATGATCTGTAAAGTGGCTTTCAAGATGTTCCTTAACATCACCCCTTCGATTGAGAACTTTTCCCCGGATGGAAAAAGCTTTTCTATTGTCCTCCACGATAATCCGTTGGCGGAGTTTGTCGAGCTCCCGATCACCACGAACCCGAAAGTGCAGAAGGAATTATGGTACTCGCAACTATACTGTGGTGTGCTCAGAGGCGCTTTGCAGATGATTCAGCTCGACACAGATGTGCATTTTGTGCAAGACGCTCTTCGGGGTGATGAGAAAACGGAGATAAGGTTGAAATTGATCAAGATTTTGAGAGACGAGGTGCCCGCTGGTGAGGACTAAATGCTTGTTGTGAGCTTCACATTTTAAATGTTGTTTTTTTTGCAGAAGCTTGTTAAAATCCTCGTCCCTATTCTTCATCGCTTTACCTCGGAACGCTTCCGGTATGGTGCGGTTCAAAAGCAATATATTTCTGGTTTTCTTTGTAAACCGACGGGCTGATTAAATTATGCAAACTAATATTACAAGGCTATCCAGTCAGAGCCACTAGAAAAACGCGTTTTCATCCTAGAATGCTGTGTTTCTTACAATGAGAAACCACGTATGCTCATTCTTAAAAGGGGAGAAGGGACTTCCAAAGAACACTTGCTCAATGGCTCCGAGCAGATGTCTACATTTTGGCCTAGTTCTTAATACCCAAATGTGCTTTGAGCCATGTGTCTGCACGATTTCGTGGTCCCATCTTGTACACAAGACTATGTAATTGCTAAAGCCTTGATTTTTACAAATGACGGATTTGTGTGGTTCGGCTAACGAATGGTTCAAGTTGTTTAAGCATTGTAGGCCATTTGATTGGCACTGTCTTGCAATTGGCAAAAATAGAAGAAACCCCTTTTAGATACATGTCTAATGGGCACGAATTCTCTTGGAGATGAACTATTCTCATCAAAGAACATGTAAATTATAGCGTTAGAAAGTCAAAGTGGTAGGCGTGCTCATTTCATCCATATAGACATGTGTAAAGCCACGGCTTATGAGCCTGTGATGGAAATAAAACAGCTCAAGATAATTTGAGAATCCTAGATATAATGGTACATTTTAGTTGCAAAAGGAAAGAAAAAACTGCTGCCTTAATGAAGACCAAGATGTGAAATCTCTATCAGATCATACTCTTACTTATGAGCCAGTTGTCGTCCTAGCAAAAATGAGTATTTTTTCAGAGTCCCACGTCGTGAACGAGAAGCAAGATAGCCGATATATGTAACTAGTATTCTTTGCCTTCGTATGAGACGTGAAGAAGAGTAACGATTCCAAATTACTTGAGCATTTGATGATAAATTGGCTGTCTTATGACATGAATCCATCAACAAAAAATCAGTCTGGATTATATGACTACCTGAAGACAGGCGAAAGAATTCAAACACTAGACGACAACTCAAGAAACTATCTATGGGCTAGATAAAGATAGATTTTCAAGCCTCATTACATGTTGTACAGGTGGTAAAAAAAATGGATCATCAAGGAAGATTGTGATGGTCGAGATATTGGGAATACTGGAAATATTGGTTAATGACTCCTGATCCATCTCGGCCCTGCGAAATGATTTGCGAGATTGCCTCATCATACAGTAGCTTGGGAGAAGAAACAAACAAACGCGTCTAGTGAAAGGCTGAAACCAAGTCCATTCCGAGTTGATACGTATTTGTTTCAGGGGTAACATAGGCGAGCAAAAAGCCTCAGTCGCGTGTACGTTACGGAATTCCCCTGCGATTCTGGTTTGACGCGATCGTGTATGAGGTCTGGTTATATGTACACTAACTCTGAAGTTGATCAGAAAGACATCAGTTGTGTGCCCTAAGTATAAGCCACGAAATGTAGACCGGGGAAGCTGCTGAGTTTGCTTTTCTCATCTGTAGAAGGGGTATGACAGTTAAGCACCAACTCACAAACATTTGTCGTAATGAATGATTCTAGCATGACTCTTTCTATGGTTATCACGATGTTGGCGCATCAACAAAACACTTCAAGTGATCCAACATCGTCTATTTGCGAGTTCTATAGGTTATTAATGAAATGCTCTATTCGGATGGAGAAGTAGTGTCAGCACTCATTTTCTGGGATATTCATTATTAAAGCCGTAGGGCGTTGACGTATTTCTTGCTTAAATAGCAAACCAAGAAAACTACACTTGTGCCTGGCAATAAAACCCAAAGAAGCAGCAGATACAGCAAAAATCAAAAAAGAACAAGCCTTTTTGCGCTCTCTGTATTTATTTTTTTTGTTTTGTTTTTCGACCAGCGTTTAAAGATTTGCAAACTAGCCACATTATTAATACTTTCCTTTCGAGACCGCAGAAGTCATCTTCACTCACGGAATGGCTCGAAATTCAAAATTTGTAAAAACACTGTTAAGCTTTTGCTGACTTAATCAATAAATTAAGTACAAGCCACAAGTGATAGAGAACCACAGACACTACACAACAGGATGAAGTGGTCCGACCATTTGAAATCAAGGCCATTATATGCTATTTCGATCTTACAATGTGGCAGGCTTCGCGGTACGCTGTACTATGTTGTCTCTCCCCGCACGCATAAGTGCAAGCCTGCATTCAGCTGACACAGTGTACGGTATTTGATCCGAAGAAATTTCAAGTTCTTTATGAAGCGACCCAAATACCAAAGTTCAATTTCGATCGACATATACATAGTTTTTGTCTCGCAGTGCTTCTAGACAAAGCAGCAATAGTTGCCGGGGTACTGCAACTAGTGGAAGGGAACACGTGATACAATACAAGTGATGCGCAACTGCAGGAGCCAGAGCTACCCCCTTCCTCAAGGCTCGCGCGCCTAAGCCCGAAAAATTGAACAAGTCGCGAAGGCCGACCATTTGGCTGTGCAGCAACAATGACAATACTTCCAAGCAAAGCATGTCTGGTTTGGGCAATTCTCTAATGTAAGCTATTCTCTACTTTAGGCCGTTTGGTGGACAAGTTCACACACACAATGCTGAAGTTTTGTGCTTGGCAGCTCACGGAAAGTGAGAACGCGTAAACCCCAAAAGTAAACAGGACACCTTAAAAGGTTATTTCAAGGAGATGGAAATCTAGAACACGAGGGTATATACCAAGGCTGATGGAGCGCGACGTAGTGTCGGTTTCTAAGGCGGATTCGCGCCTTGGGGGTGGCTTAGTGCATGGCTGTGCCCTGAAACGCACGCACGCGAAACTGTAGATGGCGCCCAGACTAATTCTTCAAATCATATAAATTGCGGATTCTGTCCACAGCGCTCAATTTTTTTTTCGGTTTTGGGCTGCAACAAATATTTCAAACATCACATACCATATCACCACGGAGCTGGAACTCTCACTGATACCCACAATCCTGCCAAACAGCTGTTCGAAACAACGAACCAACATCCTCACGAGCCTTTCTCCCGCTTCTTGAAACGTCCATAACTAACATCCGAGATGAAGTTCCTTCCCATTTTTGTTTTGTTGCAGCTTGCATTGTGTACACCCATCCCAGCAAACCTCAAACTCAAGGCAGCGGAACCACGCTCTTTGAGCATGAAACCAATTGATCGCATTGCTGCCCGCGACGGCGGCTATTTGGACGGCGGCATGGCGATAGACCACATCAGTTTTGACTCCGTTGAAAGGAGAGCTGAGCCTGCTGGTCTTTAGTTTGGGAATTTGGAATATTTATAGAAGGTTTATTGAAATAAAGGATTTGATTTCATTCGTACATTTCTGAGGTTTCCCAGGCTGTTCCCTATGGTTGTCCACAGTTTACGTTGTCTACCCGCACAGCGGGATGCCGGAACCTGTTCCCAGTGAAGACAACGGCTGACACTCAACTAGACACTTAGGCCCTACAGTGTGGGGTGTGCTTTTTTACAGGCGCGTTTTTATCATATGACCTCTCGTCTCCAATTCTCGATTATGAGACGTGGCGCTTTGCACTGTACTGGCTTTTTTTATTGTAGTCGGGACGCATTCTTACCGGGCATTTTCTTTACCACGGCGTTTATATTGTCAGCATGTTGAAAACCGCCTGGCACATCCGCGGGAACCTGCACAGGCTACCGCCCCATAAAAACCGTGCGGTCTGGTCACGTGCCGTCGTGAAGATATCAAATGACGTCCGGGTGTAGCGTTCCGTGCCCAGGCGTTTACAGCAGCGATTAAAGTCGGCGCACTCCGGAATCAGCTCAACCTCAAGCGATAACTTTGATGAATAGGCACTGACTGACTCAACACTTTCATTTTTATTTTATTTTGCATCTCACATTTTCAGAACCTCGCCCATTTTTGCATCTCACCCTGTTTTTCTGCAAATGGTATTCCTGTTATATTTGTATGTTTCGGGCAACGGGATCGTGCCCCCCTCGCGCACTGTTCGCTTTTCCGGTATGACTAGCCATGATACTCACCTGACCATGGCTATGTGCCGCATTGGCTCCACACTGTCGAGTCTCGGTACCCTCCCCCGTTTTTTCTCCAGCCCCCACCGTTTATTTCTTTTTCCCCCCGACATACTTTCTTGAGCCGGATCAGTCTCAAGTACACTCTTCCTTCAGCCTGCTAGCGTGTCTGATTATTCCTCCACCCTTTGTTCGCTTATCCTGCTTACAAATTAGGTCTCCATACTACAATCGCCACTGATAATTGCCACAATCCAACACGCTGGCATATACCCGATAACAAAAATTCAAGCAGCATATATTTCTTCCCGCCACATATAAAGGCTCGCTTTAAACACAAGTATCCCTTCAATCTCGGCTCAAGACTTGCACGTTGTCACCAGATATAAGTATCGTCACGAAACCCCACGCTTATCTCAGCACATCCAACGCATACCCCCAAACCACACCATCCACCAAATTCTAAACATGAAAGTCACTTTCAGATTATCGACGGAATCCTCGTTTTCGGTCACTATCCCACACAACTCCACTGTGGAGGATTTGCGTAACGCTGCAAAAGTCGGCTGCCCATCATCCGCAAAGTTGCCGCTGGACTTCAAGCTTATCTACAACGGGGTCAAGCTTGCACCCTACTACAAAACCCTAGATGCTCTCAGTGTGCGTCCGGAGGAAGACAGCATCACCGTGATCCTCATGAGCGAGGGCTCGGACACGCCGATTGCGTCCCCACAGTTGGCGCCAGTCGAAAATGTGGCTGTGGCACCAAGAAAGAAGGCCAAGAAAAACAGGTGTTCTTTCAAAAGCTGCTCTGCATCGCCGCTCCGTATGGTAGGTGACTGCGGCCAGTGCAACGGGAAGTTCTGTGCAAAGCACCGCTTGTTGGAGGACCACCTGTGTTCAGGGTTGCAGTTTTGCAAGGACAACGCCCATGAAAGGAACGCTATGAAACTACAAAACGAAAGCACCATTGCTTCTCGCGTTTGAAGCCGGGATGAACATCCACATGGCCTCGTTTAGAATCGTCACTGTGTGGCAATGCTAATACCTACTTTCGTTTATCGAGCTTCGCACCTTTAAATCTTTTCAATAAACCACTGTCTAAATGAGTCTCCTTTTGTGTTTCGAGGGCCCAATGTCTCACACATGCATCCCTTTATTTCCACGTTGAACATTCCCTTCCTATGCCTGAGTCAAATTCTCGAGAATCTTCTCATATCTACCGTTCGTGGCATTATTAGCGCGCATCAAAATCTCCTCCGCCTCTTTGTAAATCGCCTCTTGTTCATCGCTGTCCAAATCGTACATGTTGCCCAATGATATCATGGCCTCTGCCACAGCAGCCCATGAGTCAGGGTCTTCTTCGTCCTGGGCAACTCTCAAAAATTCAAGAGCTTTGTTAAGTAAGTCTTGACCGATCTTCCGCGCCTCTTCCTTGGTGAGTCCGTTTAAATTGGTCTCCCCTTTACTGTAATAGGTCAATGTAGTGAACACATTACAAGGCTCCTCCGCCTCCAATAACAACGATTGACCAAGCCTTTTGCTCAACTCTCTGCGCAAAACCATATTGGCATCTTTGTTGTTCTCCTCGGAGATATTTTTCAATCGTATCTTTTCAATGAGGTTGTTGAGAAAGCGTTGCGTATGTTCTCTCCACCATAAGTTGTATTTGTCTGTTTCGACAATTGCATACAATGGATGTTTAGGGCTGAGCTCAAATTCATCCTCGTTTTCATCCTCTGCATCGCTGTCTTTTTCCTCTGGCGATTCTTTGCCAAAGTTGTCGATCATGTCGAGTAAATCATCAAGGGCCTGCAAGAAATCCGAATTTTCCAAATTGTAATGCTTGTATTTCTTTTTTTCTTCTGAAAGTTTTTCGGCTCCTTCCCAAACAGCTAGACAGTTGTCAAGAAGAGAAGCGACATTTTTGTGCTCTTTACTGACTTTGCTATCAACAGTCAAAGGTCTAATGGCAACCAAGGGGATCTCATTTATGAGCACACGCGCCTCAGCAAATAATAATGATATCGAGTCAGGAAATTTCTGCTTCCCGATGCTTATTCTGTCCTTGGCTTCTGCGAAGAAGTCTGCCACTTTATTAGGCTCCTCGGTGTAAAAGAAAGCCAAAGAAGACAAGGCCAACCCGTAGATCCCATAGAACTCACCTGTAAGTTCGATTTGCTCATTGTCGCTTTGTTCACCAGATGCATCTTGCTGCTGGTCTTTCGTGTCTGATCCATTCTTTTCATCACCGTTCCCATTTGTGCTCCTGACGTGTGACTTTCTCAAAATTCGGTCACACTCATGGATAATACCGTTAACCTTGAGTTCATTCCTGTCATTGGTCTTGATGAAATCTTTCCACAAAGCACGAAGTTGAGCCATGGCATCGTTGGCATTCACCTCTTCGCCCAACTCCACAGTAAGCTCATTTTCTTTGGCGGAGATTTCCTCCTGCGATTTTGAAGTGTCCTTGTTTTCGGAAGATTTCCGCTTTTTGGATGCAGCTGCTTTCCCAAGCCCAAGGTGTCTTTTAGAAGCCATGATGTGTTATGATTTTTTTCAACACTGCTCTACGATTGAAAACTCTATATATCACGTGACGCAAGCAAAGGAGATGGATATTTCATAGCCTAGCCTTGTTCACCGCAAGTTGCGATTGTGGGCTCTGTATGCAAGAGATCCTGAGAGAAGATTGGGGCCCGCCTGATGTGCTCGAACAGCAATGCAACTAATTAATTTCATAATGCTAGAGGACGGCGCTAGTCTTCACAAACTTGTCTAATTGCACAATGTGAGAGAAGAATGGGCATATAACCGGTTATCTATCACCAAATGTCGAACTAATGGACGCATCATTCAATTTGTCAATATTGGATCTTTATTAACTTCAACTCTGTCTCGAGAGTGCGAGATTTAAATTTGCAAATCATTGGTGATTTGATTCGAAATTTCTGAAAATGCAACGGCGGCCCGTGAAGTGTTAGTACAACGGGCAAGCCAAAAAAGAAAATCACTTGAACTACAAATAATAAATCTGGCATAGAAATTAGCTGTGATGATGTTTGTTTGTGACCTTGCAAGGGCAAGTCGCTAGGACTTTCACTCGAATTCTAATTAATAGATCACGTCTCGATATACGACGCGGGTGAGAAAACTTAACCCACCACTCATGGCCAAGTGATGACCACGCCGGTTACCTCCGATATACATCGGACCTGCACATATGCCATGTCATTTTAGAAAATGCATCAAGTCACGTGCTTGGATGTAATTCATTGAACACGGAATCACAATATATTTCCAGGTTAACCTCTCAGGCAAAGGCCACTTTTTCCTAGGATACGGAATCACACGCCCAGAAATGAACTTGCTTGCATCGCTCAGCTGCCAGAACGAGACCCACCTTGTGGTGGGCGGCAACTCTAACATTGCAGCTTTGAGAGTTAACTCCATATTGGCGTCAGGCGCCTCTCCGATTTTAATTCAGAACAAGCCAATCGAGACGCTACCTATTTCCTTGCAAGACCTTATTTCAGCAAACAAAATTAAACTGATCCAGAGTGAATTTAAATTCGACTTTCTCACTTCATTGGGTAGAGCGGCCGTCGATCATGTTGTAGACAGAGTCTTCGTCACATTGGACCTCGATGAAGGCGAAAAAAAACGAGAGATATCTGAACAGTGTTGCCGCCTACGAATTCCTGTTAATGTATCAGACTCTCCTGAGCTTTGTACATTCACGTTACTCTCCACTTACACGAACGGAGGGTTTCAAATGGGTGTTACAACCTCAGGAAAAGGCTGCAAGCTCGCATCCAGGATAAAGAGAGAGCTCGTTTCCAAACTACCAATAAATATGGGCGAGATATGTGATCGAGTCGGCGAGCTCCGTCAGAAGCTCCAAGATTCCGATGCCTCTGAAATTGGCGGCAATGACGAGGACGCTGTGACAACATCCAAGCTCAACGCATTGGTGAAGGAATTCAACATGACTCTCGAACAAAAGGCTGCCCAAAGAGCTAGGTTTCTCTCGCAGATCGTCGAGTACTATCCGCTCGAAAAGCTCGCACATATAACGATGGACACCCTTACCACTGAGTATGCATCACCCAACACTGACTGTGGAATTTCCGAGAACGACATAATAAGACAGAAAAAGAAGGGCTCGATTTCCCTCGTGGGGTCGGGCCCAGGATCCGTGTCCATGCTCACACTCGGGGCTCTTCAAGAAATACACTCTGCCGACTTGATTCTAGCAGACAAACTCGTACCACAACAGGTTTTGGACTTGATTCCGCAGAAAAGAACAAATCTTTTCATTGCCAGGAAATTCCCTGGTAACGCAGAAAGGGCACAACAAGAACTTCTCACAATGGGTCTAGAAGGCTTGCAAAGGGGCGAAAAGGTTGTACGCCTCAAACAAGGTGATCCATACATCTTTGGCCGCGGCGGGGAAGAGTATCTCTTTTTCAGCTCACACGGATTCGTTCCCAACGTCTTGCCCGGCATTACATCTGCGCTTGCTGCTCCAGTATATTCAAACATTCCTGCCACTCACCGTGACGTTGCAGACCAGGTTCTAATCTGCACCGGTACTGGCCGCCGTGGTGCCTTGCCCAATCTTCCTGAGTTTGTCGAGTCCAGAACAACCGTTTTCTTGATGGCTTTGCATAGAATTGTGGATTTGATCCCACACCTCATCACCCAAAAAAAATGGGCTGCGGATCTTCCTGTTGCTATTGTGGAAAGGGCTTCTTGCCCTGATCAGAGAATCATCCGTACAACCTTGGCCAAGGCCCCGGCTGCTGTTGAGGCCCTAGGCTCGAGACCACCTGGACTTTTTATTGCGGGCTATGCCTGCGGTGTATTGGCGACGCTTCTGGAGAAAGACTGGATAGTGGAAGAAGGACACTCTCTGAATGAGATCAGCGGGGTATTGGAAAAACTTGCATCGTCCGTTTGATAGTTCATAGCTACTACCAAATAGACCCGAGAAACACAGATTCCTAAACTATACACAATCCCAATGACGACTTGCTTGCTTTCAGCGAGCCTCCCGGTGGAAAATATAGCCCTTGTTCGCCTGAGAAAACCCTGAATATTCGCCGGCGTATCCAGAAACACGGGCATGCACATTTGAAATTCCCCGGGAAATTACTTGCTCACGTGAGCCGGAACTTGGACCTAGCTGGCAGGTAAAATTCAGGATCTGCTGCACTATTTGTTCGGTTTTGGAGCCGCCCTTCGTGGCTTGACTTCTGTGCTTGAACATGCCCTATTTTCAAAGCTTGAAGCTTGTTGCAAGATTTTTCCAGATATTGATTGACCAATATGCGTCACGGCAATAGGACGGGCTGATAACGCGCGAGCAGTGCATGAGATCTGACCAACCATCTTTATCTTAAACACCAACATGATCCTAACCAGATACGCCAGGATTGCACCTCGTGCCCTCCAAAACACTCTCTCGCATTTTCCAAGCAGACTGATATCAAACCAGTCCTCCAAGGCCTTCGTGTTTGACATTGATGGTGTGCTTCTTCGTGGTAATAAGCCAATCCCTCAGGCGCACCAAGCACTCACCTTACTAAACCAGGAAAAAGTACCGTTTATTCTCCTTACCAATGGCGGCGGGGTTTCTGAGGAGGCACGTGTGGAGTTTCTTTCCGACAAGCTCAACATTGACATTTCGCCTTTGCAGATAGTGCAGAGCCACACACCCATGAGGGCATGGGCTCAGAGTGGGAAATTCAGCCGGGTTATGGTGGTGGGAGGCGCGCAGGATAAGGCTCGCCAAGCAGCACTTAACTATGGCTTCAAAGACGTGGTGGTGCCTATGGACATTGTGCGCCAGGATCCGTCGGTGGCGCCTCACCACCAGTACACAGACGATGCATTGGCTAAGTACGCTCAGGATGTCGACTTATCCAAACCTATTGACGTGATCCTCGTGTTCAACGACCCACGCGACATGGGATCCGATATTCAGATTGTGTGTGACCTTCTCAACTCGGAGAACGGCGTGGTGGGCACGCTAAGAACGCCGCCTCAGAGTGCCAAAACGCGCCCTGCCATTCCTATTGTCTTCAGTAACAACGACTACTTGTGGGCCAATGACTACAACTTGCCCAGGTTTGGGCAGGGCGCTTTCCGCATGATGGTTGAGCGTTTGTACGCGGAAACAAACCGGCTCTCCTATCCGGAAACACTCGAACTGACGATTCTAGGCAAGCCATTCAAGGTACAGTACGACTATGCCCACTGGGTATTGATCGAGTGGAACAAAATACTCCACGGACACAAGAAGCATGCTTTCATGCCGAAACTTCACGATTCACCTACCGAGCTGCCCTTCAACAAGATTTTCATGGTAGGCGATAATCCTGAATCTGACATCCATGGCGCCAATGCCAATGGCTGGGAATCTATCCTCTTACGCACCGGCGTTTATAAAGATGCAGACTGGGACCGGACGTCTCACCGGCCAAGCGTGGGCGTATTTGACAACGTGCTAGATTCGGTGGTCGAGGTGTTAGAAGTTGAGGCATAAAGCTCGTCTTCAAGCTGAATATATACTTCCATAGTATTGGTCACTTCCACATCCAGGGCCCGGTTACCGGTGCTATGTATGAGATTGTTCTCGAGGCTTTTTCTGAGTCTTTTGTGGACGGACAACAATCTGAAAGACCACTGCATCAGATACGCTGAAATACACCTTTGCTACAAAATAAATCCAAGTTCCACTTTAGTGAAAGTAAAGCGACCAGAAAAGCACGATCCAGTACACTTCCAAGCTCATGAAATTAGTTTTTATTAATATAAGCGACTTGTGCAAATAAGGAAAATGCGTCTATAAGAAAGCAATCGAGCATCAATGTTTCAGCTCAGAGTCGGAGAATTCAGCCTGCTGGGTCACGTATCTGTCAGTACCAAGTTTTGTGGAATCAATCTCACCGTGATACTTCTCGCAAATTTCCTCCAAGGTCATTCTCTTAGTCTCAGGGATCAACAAAGTGGAGAAAACACCGAGCAACATGAAAAGGGCAAAAATCTCCATGACATGAGGCAAGAAACAAGAGTTGTTGGTGGCACAACCGTGGTTGATCAAAGTACCAATACACGTCTGGGCAACGATGGCGCCAATCTTGCCCAGAGCAGCAGACATGCCATGGGCAGTTGATCTGTATCTTGTTGGGAAAATCTCACCTGGAATAATGAATGTTGTGGTGTTTGGGCCGAAATTCTGGAAAAACTGAGCAAGGACGTAAAGAGCCAATTTTCCGTGGTCAGAAATCTTGTCGTATGCGAAACCAAGAATACAGAACAATGCTGTAAGGATGATAAAGCCAAAGAATTGGATAGGCTTTCTGCCAACGGTATCCACAGTAGCAGCAGTCACCCAGTAGCCGGGCAAGGAACCAGCGCAAATCAAAATCAAGTTACCAACAGCAGTGTTGTATAAGGACTCGTACACATTGCTGGAAGATGCGTAACCGATTGTCTTCAAGATCACAGCCGTGTTCAAACCCAAGCCGTAGTATGCAACGTCCAAGAAAAACCAAGAAGTAGCAGTACCAATCAAGATCTTACCGTATCTCCATTGCCCAAAATGGCCAATGAAGTCCTTGAAAGAGGCCTTTGGAGGGGCAACATCTTGAGCAGCAATATCCAAGGCGGCCTCAGCGTCGGCAACTTTCTCCAAGTTGTCATGCTCCTCGACATCCAAAGAGTAGCGGGGAGACTCAGCAATAGTCAATCTGTAGTACAACGCGATACATCCAGGAACACAACCGAAACCAATCAAGATTCTCCACATCTGGTCATTGGCTTTAACACAGGAGCCCACACACTCAGCAGCACTATTGGCGAACTCCAAGTCAGACCTGTATGCGGAAACGATCACAAGAGCAACGATACCGGCTAACAACTGACCCAAACCTTGATTAGAGAAGACAGCTGCCATAATAGCGCCTCTCCATTTGGTGGTCGAGAACTCCGAAGAGATGATAGAAGACAATGGGTAGTCACCACCAATACCGATACCCATAACAATTCTAAGGGAAGCAAAAAGAGCCACAAAGCTGATGGCAGGGGATTCACCAATAGTGCACTGAAAAATCGTGGCTGCGATCATGACAATCAATTCTAAACCATAGATTTTTTTACGGCCGACAACATCAGCCAAGAAGCCAAAGCCGAGTTGACCAATAACAGTTCCAACCGATGTGGAAACCTTAATCAAAGTGTTCGTGGAGTCTGGGATTGATCCAGCCCAATAAACGTGGGCTAACATCGAGGTACCCAAGTTAATGGCAAAAATATCGTAGGAGTCAGTCATGAAACCAACACCCGCAATCATGATCATCTTCGCTTGGGTCCAGCCAAAGCCTGCATTATCGATTTCTTCCAAAGCTAATCTTCTTCTTTCCAAAGGATCCTCAATGTGTGCAAACTGTTCGAGGTAATCCTTAAAGGCGGTCTTTCCACCAGCGGTGCTTGCCACTTTAGTGTGTTCAATTTCAGACATTGAATTTGTTTGAGACAATTTCAAGAAGAGCGTAGAGGGGTGTTCAAAGTGCTTGTGATTTCTGACTATAGAAAGTCTTTCGAAGGGGAAATCTGTCCTATTATATACTACTGGTGTAATTAATTGCCTGACAATCTACATGCACGACATGCTCATTGCATGGAATACGGATGAGCGGCGCGGGCAAAAAAAACCCGGAAGTTCCTATAATTACATCGTGCACACGCCCAAAAGGGACGCCCACGAGTACAGCCTGCGTGCGAGTCCCACGTTAAAATCCCTTAATATATCCCAATTATTACCATAGCCTGGCCCACGAGCCTGTGCGGTGAAAATATCAAAAAAACACTTTGCGTGACCTATTGTAGCATACCCATCTTCCGAAACGAAATAATGAAAACCTGTCAACTCTGACGTCAAAAGCCCCTGTGATCCAGGAAGTGCTTAGAATGACGTTTCAAATTCCCGACTCGCCGACAAATTTTCTTGGTGTTATTTTGTCGACGAGAATTGATATTGGTAGTGTGACAAGTTACCAGAACCCGAAGACAATGCGCCTGCCACGTGGGTGCGAGAAGCTCGGGTTCATTCCTGTATATACTGTACCGGGCTCGCCAAACGGAATTACATCCGCGCACCCCACGTGTGCGCTTGCAGTCAATTAGTTCTTTATGCGGGCGGAGGTGACCAGCTCGTTTTTTTTTGTCTCTTGGCGAGACTTATGTGCAATCCTGGCTTCGTAAGCCGTATTCATTCATACTCTCGACTTATCAGGTGAGGGAGACAGAGATGAACTCGTAGCATTCAAAATTATTAAACTACCTGCCTGCTCCTGATTTTTCATTCTCAAAAATGAGAACCCTCTCTCTTAGCAGAGCGAGTTCCCTTTCTTGTGCCTTGATCTTCAAATCTTTCTCGTTATTCTCTTGAAATAAATACTCCATCTTGCCTTTATACTGACCAATCATGTTTTGATAGTTGAAGTTTTCGTCGTTGTATTTTTTCAATTGCGTGCTTTTGTTCTCTTGGTCGTATTCAAGAGTGGAGATTTGTTTGCGGAGAATTTTCTCTCTCAGATCGCCGTCTGAGAGTTGTTGTCTTAGTTCATCGACTTCCTCGTTAAGTCTGCCCACTGTGCTCTCCAAATACCTAAGCTGTTCATTTGAATAAAGCTTGGATTCCAAATCTCCGATTTTAGCCTTCAATTCTGAATTGACAGTCTTTAAGCTTTCATTCTCTTGAACAATAACCAAGTTCTCGGTGCGAGCTTCTTTATACGACACATCACTCTTGTCCCACCTCTGGCGAAGATCATCGAACTCAAGCTTGTTTTGTTTCTTCTCGTTCTCCATGTTATCAACATGTACTTGAAGTAGTTTCATGTCGCGATTGGCATTTTCGAGCAGGTGAGAGAGTTTAGAAATATCTTCTTTGAGAGCATTGTTTGCATGTTCGAGCTCTTGTTTTGATAAGCTTAGCTCCTCTATCTGACGGCCATTCTCTTCAACAAGCCTTCGAAGTGAATCAATCAGCTTGTTATTTTGATCAATTTTTCGCTCATGAGTACGTTTTTCGTTTTTGAGCTGCGATAATTCTGCTTTAAGACTGTCGTTCAGCTGTACCAAATTTTCATTCTCGTCTGTCACTTCCTTATTCTCACCAAGAACTTCTTCCTTTATTCTCAAAAGCTCTTCATTGTCAATCTTCAAGCGCTTGTTCTCTTTAATGATCTCCGTTTCCTTCTCAAGCTTGAACTTCACATCCTCGCGCAAAGACCTAATTTCTTCTTTGTGTTCTTGAATGACATTTTTTCGTTCGCCGTAGGTGTTGTTCAAGTATACGATTTTCTGTTGCAATACTTCAATTTGACTTTTCAATCTTGCCCCCTCCTTTGTTGCATCATTTAGCTTGACCTCAACATCGTTGTTATCCTGTCTCAACTTTTTGATCACTCGATCACTTGCTCTCACCTCTTCCTTTATGAGCTTCAAAGAATTGCTCTTTTCTTCAAGTTCACGGCGAGCCAAATTCTCGTGTCTCTTGCTAATTTTCACAGCTGATTCCGCAAGTTCGAGCTTCTCATAATATTCCTCACTTCTTTTCTGGAATTTTTTAAGCACCTGATGGACTTCATCGTGCTTTTTGCTGATGTTGTTATTGTCAAGTTTCAATTTTGCCAATTGCTCTTCGTAATCACGCACAGAAGTTTTTACATTGTTCCTTTTTGTTTCATAAAGTTCATCTTCACTTTCTCTCAATAAAGATTTCAATCTCAATATTTCACTTTTTGACTTACTCAATTCGCCTCTGGTTGCCTTCAATGTTTGATTTATATCGTTGTAAATCTTTCCAAAATCCACAGAAGATTGCGGATGTACCGACCCCAAGCTATTACTCCGTGACATAGCTTGCCTTACGTAGTCGGGTGAGTAATCCAGGGACTCGCTTATAATCGAAACAATTTTCTTTTCGAGTTCCTCAACTCGGTTTTGAGCATCCTTGAATTTCGCTTCGTAGTCAGTGAATGTATTGATACCCCTCATAGCCTGAAACTGATTAAGCTTTCTTTGAAGCTCAATAGCATAGTTTTCAGCCCGTATTGAATTTGCTTCTTCTTGCTTCAACCGAAGTTTCAAATCTTTTAATTCGGAGGCAAGCCTTGAGTCGTTCATTTGACTCAATCGCATATCATCGCTAATTGCAAGAGATCTGCGTGCCTCACTGCGCTTCAGCGGGCTTTCGAAGCTGTCTTTCACTTTCTCTCGAAGCATACGCACCTCTTCCAAAAGCTTTTGATTTTCAAACCTTTCATTGCGGACGAGTACACTCTGCTCATTTAACCTGGATTTGATACTGATGTAGTCACTCATAATGTTTGGGTCAATTTTGGGGCTCTTTGGACTTTGTGCCTCTTGAAGCTTAGCCTCTAGCATGTCAATTTGAAGACGAAGTGAGTTAATCTGCTCCGAATACTCTGCATTCGTTCTTGCGAGAAAGTGTACCTCATTTTTCATTGTTTCGTAATTTGCGAGCGACGATTCATGGTGTTCTATTTGACGAGAAAGCGATTCTTTCGATTTCTTAAGATCGGAGAGGATATGGATATTGCTTTGGTTTTCTTCCGTCAATTTTGCCTTCAAGTCCTCATTTTCCTTCAAGGCCTGAGTGAGTTCACAAACTTTTTGTTCAAAGCGCTTTTTAGATGAAATTTCTAGCTCCAAGTTCTTCTGCTTTTCGTGGCAGTCTGTCTCCAAATAATTCAGTTTCTCCGTTGCAGTTTTTAGTTGGTCAATGAGATCTCCAATCTGCTTTTCTTTTTGAATGAGAAAAGCCGTGTTGTTTTCCCTAAATTTTTGGTTTCGATCTGCAAGAGAAACTTCAATTGCTGACTTCTCACGCGTAAGTTTGTTGACCTCGGCTTGAAGAAGTTCTTTTTCGTCCCCTAGAATTTGTACTTTTTTTGCATTTCCAGAATCTTGACCCAGAAGTTTTTTCGTCAATTCTTCCCGTTCCACATCCTTTGTTTGAAGAAGCTCCTCAAGCTCGGCTATTTTCGCAACATTCATTTTTATGAGTGAGCGAGAGCTTTCGAGTTCTTCAGACTTTTTTTCGAGCTCGATTTTATTGGATTCCAAACTCTTAGTAACTTCTTTGTGGTTCTGACATTTTTGCTCGAGTGTCTTTATGATTGAGATTGCCTTTCGATAATCCGTGTCAAGGGTAGTGTGTTGCTTCACATCTTCCTCGAGCCTCTTAACAGTCAGAGACTGATGATCTTTTTCTTGCTGTAAAGTAACAATTTCTTCTTCCATTTTACCAATCAAGTTTTGCAATTCTGCAATTTTAGCGGCGAGTTCGAGCTTGTCTTTAGCTATCGTTGCACTCACAGCCTGAACTTCAGATAGTTGCCTCGAGGTATCATCTAACTTTAGACTTCTTGACTTCTCTTCTCCCTCGAGTATTTTCAACTTTTCCATCTTTTCAGCCGCAGACTTGTTCACTTTAAGAATTTCACTTTCCAAAGTATTGAGCCTCTCCTTTAGTGAAATATTTTCTGTTTCTAAGATGCCCTTGGATGTTTCAGACTCCTTTAATTTGCCATTTATTTTCTTTAGGCTTTCATTCATTTCCCTGCTATCTAAGACTTTGACCGAATCTTCCAACAAAGGTTTCAATCTGATGAATAGCTTGAGCCAAGGGCTTTCTGAATTATTGACAAGTCCATCGAGTTTTTGAAAATTCCTTGCGACGACTTGTGATGCTTGTATGATTGCAATTTGCTTCTTGATCCTGGATCTGGCAAGCTGACCACGTGATACGCTCTGAAAGTTCGTAAGATGGCGCTTTATGTCTATATCACGAAGCTCCTCAAGTCGGCCTAAAATACCATTCTTGAAGAACAACTTGGATATACCAATCTTGAAGAATTCGGCATCTAGAGCAATGTCTTTGAGTACAAGCTCGCAGTTGGCCTTCAAATTCTTAGTGAAAACAGCGTCATTACAAAGAATGGAATACCTTTCGAAGAATTCCCCGAATGTCATCTTATTCGGGTACCCAGCTCTAGCAATTCTGATTCCTTCTAGGACACCGTTACAACGAAGCTGATGAAGTACCAATTCCTTGTCAAACTTATTTGATTTCTTCGCCAAATTGGGGAGGATGCACCGCACAAAATGCGGCTCAGTCCTTCCAAGTTGCTCCATGAGAGTAGAAAGTTGCTCCTTGTGCTTCTGGGTAACTGTTTTGAGTTTAGTTTTACCTTTATTTTTCATTGGCAGCCCAATTTCCTCTGTGGTCGCAAACAATTTCCTAACAAAAGGTTTTGTGGAGTCAGACATAAGTTTTAATACGTTTTCACTGACTGGGTCCTTATTTTTGTCAAGCCAGTTTTCAATATTGTACTCCACTAAGCCGGCATAGTGGTCGATGATAAATCCTGATCTGGCTCTATTCGGCCTAAATTGTTTTGTTTCACCCTTGCCCCAAGTTTCAAGCAATTGATCCATGAAGGTCTCCTCTGATGCTTTGGGTAGTACACATTGTTCATTTAGGATTTCCAAAATTCCCATCGGATGTTTGGTCTCTATCAAATCAATTGTAGGTTGAAGGTCCAAACCAAAGTCAATGTACTCCCATTGGATATCCTCACGGAGGTACTCACTCTGCTCAAGAATAAACGAGTGATGATTAAAAAACTGCTGTAGTTTTTCGTTGGTATAGTTGATACAAAGCTGCTCAAATGAATTCATCTCAAAAATCTCGAACCCTGCAATATCCAATACACCAATGAAATGGTCGTTTGAAACATCTTCTGCCATGAGAGAGCCATCAATGCGTGTGATAATGAATTGAAACAATTTTTCATACAAGTGCTTTGCAAATGCATCAATGGTGCTTTTCACCTCCGGGGGCTTTTGCAGCTTGTGCATATATTCTCTTCCGGCCTTCACCTTGGGCTTCAATAAATTTTGTGTTAGTTCATCCTCATCAATACCAAGCAAATCTGAGATAATATCCATCTTTACATCCTTGGAAAAACTAGCTTGGTCCGATTTCCATGAAATAAAATCCACATTTCCCAAATGTAAAATGACCGCCAATCCAGAAAAAATGCTCTCGACTTCTGCCTCAGAAAAGCCCATGACACGAAACGATTCGTTCAAATGTCGGAACTCTATTGCGTCATCGATTTGTGGAATAGTTCCTGCTGACGAACTTAAATACTTGTACTGCAAATAGTCATTCAGAAGGGAGTATTTCGAACTAAGCGTTTCTTTTGTCTCGCCCAGAAGCATCTGGTAGAACACGTGATAGTTCCGTTCCGCTTTCAGTTGATGGGATACTCGAGACTTTTCAAGTAAGTAGTAATCAATAGTTGCTCCGCTTATAAGGCCTTTTGAGTCGAAATATATTTTGATAAACTTACCAAACCGCGATGAGTTATTATTCTTGATTGTTTTGGCATTTCCAAAGCTTTCCAAGATCGGATTAGCGCGTAAGATTTTCTCGTGAATATCATCCTTCATTTCCGTGTGAGTCAGAATCTCATCAAAAGTTGAGATCAGAGAGAGGTATTGGATGATTTTCTTCGTGTTTTCGGTCTTTCCTGCGCCGCTTTCTCCAGTGACCAAAATGGACTGGTCCTTGTGGTTAGCAACCAAATTTCTGTGTGAATTCTCTGCAATGGCGAAAATATGTGGAGGCAACCTCTCGTCCGTCTTTCGGGAAAGCCCATGGAATTTTTTTAATACATGATTCTCATATATGGGAAGTTTCTTATACGGGTTAATAGCAACTAAAAAGAGACCCAGGTAAGTGTAGATCAAATCGTCATTGTATCGAAGGAACAAGTTGTAGATCACAGAAGGTTCGTTTAAATGAGTAAGCTCGGCCATGTCGTCACATTTGTTGAATTTGACAGGATTGCAATTTTCAACAAGGTTGTGTTCAACTTCTCTGGTGGACTCTTGTACGCCATTTTTGATTGCCACTCGGACGGCTCCAGTGGGTAAGTAGTCTGTGATACAGCCTCGGACAAAAAGCTCGTCTTTGTCCGGTACCCAAACGTAATTTTGGGACGTCAAGTCGTCGTCTGCCATTATGAGTGAGTTTTTTTAAGAGAGTGAGCTGAAGCAATAGTGATTTGATGGCAAACAACGGTTTCAGCGGCAACCTTTTGTAGTACGGATTATCTTCTATTGTTTCTCGAAAGCCAACATGGCAAACTATCTCGTCACGTGACTGTGAAGCGATCTGTGCGGTTTCCTGGTGGAATGTCTGTTCTTGTTTGTTTTTCTGTCGTGCCTACTAGTACACAGGCTTAGCACGAGCATAGCAAAGAATTGGTCTGAACTGCCACCTCACTTAATGCACAACACCATTAGAGTGTATTGTGAGTTCATTAAATTTCATGTGTGTAAATTTTTGCACTTGATTTTGAGAGCTCTTCTCATGAAAATCCCAGCTTTTTGCTTTGCTTTTTCTATTGCTGTTTTGCAATCTTATTCGGGGTTCTAAAGCATTTTTTGGACGGCTTTACAAAGAGGTTGGGGAGGAACAACCGTTGAATGGCACGTAATCAAGTGCGAACTCAATCACGTAAACAAACTTTACCGGCAAACTCACAAGTATGAAGTTCTCTTTTTTTTATTAACTTGGACACCTCCCCTCTGTATAGTCAATGAGCAGTCAACAATACTTCCCTTATTCGTGCCGGTGACGGCAAAACGTTCTCCTACGTGTTTATTGACATGACAGTAAACATTTTTTGGACGAAAGTCTATCGGGCCATGTATGATGTGCCTGCGAGACTCTACAGAAACGCCTTCCGACAACTGATGAATTCGATTCTTTATTCAATTTATAGGTATTAAGGACGTGTTCTCAGCATTTGACATCAATTTTGCAAGCTGCTCTATAAAATTGATCCTTACAGGTGATCAGCATGTACATCTGAGATTCCGCAAGTTGTAGCAAGTTTCTCAGATATACATCAAGTGAATCTAAATTCAGTGAGGTCAGATATGCTACCATTTCACACTCTCAATTTTGACGCGATTGGCAGATTCCAGCTCAGATCGTTGTCAGGAATCGGGGAATAAGCAGCAAATGCAGCAGAATTAGTTCGGATAATTGGAGTAGGGTATGCGGAAGAATCCTGATGTGAGAAAATCAGTGACTGAGAGGCCAGAGGAGGGGTTGATGGCATAGCGTCTGGTTTAGAGTGCGAAGCTCTGATCACCTTTCCGTCGGAGAATCCAAGCTGTAACATGACATCAGCTGCGCGTGTCAATTCGGGGGAGAGCGGATTTAATGTGCTGTCAGATAATACCGATTGCCCTTGTTCGTTTATAATCTGCATAGTAATAGTATGCCGATTAGAAAAGTTGTGAATCACTGGAATGACACCCAACTCCTCAAATTTTCGTTGTATGACCTCAGAGAGATCTACTGTGTGCATCATCATCACAATGGCTATTCTTCGGATCATATTCAATGCATGTGCATCGAACCCCAGTAGGAATGGGCCATATACGCTCGGGACCTCGTTCTCGTCATCTGGACCAGCCAGAAAACCCCGCAAGCTGCTGTTTTCTTTGCGTATATTATCAACAAGATTACTCAAGTAAGACGCAGCAGTCGGAATACCCAACATTGAACATGCTAATAAGTTGGCCGAGACTGCAACTAACGAGGATGGCATCGTCAAGAAGAATCTGTCGTACAAAGAAAGCTCGCAAAAAAATCTTCCAACGGCTGTTACCGCTGAGACTTTCAGAGCCATGGCATCATTTTGACAGTTCGTTGGGCGGTTGTATTTGCACGGTGTGACATTCAGCGAGACACCTGCTTCAGAAATAGCTAGTCGAAGACAATCCTCAAGCAGCGGGTGACTCAACAGCCATTCGAGTGTGGAGAGAATGTGCATTTCCATTTGAACAAACATTTCCTCGTCATAAGCCTGACGACACATAATAGCCAATTCTCTCAATGTCGGTACTCTCAGTTTTTTGTCTTCATATTTGCCAGCAATCCAAAGAGCAGTGCAGCCAACTAGCTGATAATGACGCTTAAAAACAATCCGTTTGGCACAGTACCGGTCTATGATGTTAACGCAGAGAAATAAAGTAGACGGCTGCAAGCGGAATGAAGAATGGAGCTCGATTAGGAAGTCTAAAAGGTATGGTCTCATATACCACTGAACTTCGGGCTGTATATCAATCATTTGTGGGTTGACTCTCAGCTGAGCCTCCAACACCGATAGCCATTGTTTGACATCTTTGGAGTATTCCTTGGTGAGCTTCATGTTGGCCTGTGTTTCAAGTGCCTCTAGCACGTAAGGATAGCTTCTTGGCTTGGGCTGAGGGGGCCCGAAAAGTCTGGAAGACATGTTTTTTTATATATCTCTCGTAGATTTATGTTATATCGCTAAAGAGCAATCTCGTTGCTATAGCAAAATGATTCAGAGTGTCTGAAGCAAACAGATGAAGAGGAAATGGGGTATATCAGGGGTCAATCTTGCACCGGTGAATTGTGGAGAATGGTGAGTTCGAATTGCAGCCAAAAAAAGAAACACACGCTTGCTCGAGCAGAAAAAGAAACGACTCGTCTCTTGTAGTGTCTTTCAGAAAATTTGCCAGAATCCGAAATGCGACTTTGTATAACAATCAACTGCTCAAAGAAACAAAGGTTTTCTGGGAAATCTGGAACGGGGTTGGAAAGAAGGAAACACAAGCTGGCTTGTGGGTGTGGAAAGGAAAAAGAATGTGTATGGGGCTATTCAGCTCGGATATAGGAAAAGGATAGAAGACCAAGTCAATTGTTCTGATAGTATCCTAAGCGATAAGCTTTTGGGCAAAAACTGTGTTGTGGTGAAAGTATTGTCAAAAACCTATAGAAATGCTGGTTGAGAAACCAACGCTGAAGCCTCGGGGCTTTTAAAGGAATCTCGAAAGAGGAGCAGCCGCGTCGCGAAAACAGAATTTGATCGCACCAGGAGGGACACAGGAGGGAAACGTCCTGCATGAAGACGCGCTGCTCGCCAACCGAGACGTGAAGCGTGTGCGAGTTTCCAGTTTCCAACTGGGCCTTTCAATCCACGGCACCGCGATGCATTAAAGCGCGAGAGGCTGAAGGTTGTTGAGTAAACGCGCAACAGATACCGATTTCTTTTTCGTAGGGCTAAGAAATTTGGCCGGTATCCTGTGGCTTTCCAAGCCTGTAGAGAATATTATCTGAAAGAATATAGCTGCTTTTGAAGCAAAAGTAAGGAAAACTCTATGTTGGGGTGTTGTAAAAAGATGTATATTTCGTAGTGTTCTGCACATACGACCATATATGCAGCCGTGTATGAATAAGCGCTTGTGAATTGCGCCCAGGCGCGTTTATTTTCTCAACAAGAAGATTACTTCTCCAGAACCGGTACATGGTTATATAATCCCTCTTATATACAACCAATAGAGACTCCCTTTCGTGTAGCAGTCTCCTTCATTCTTTTGTCCACATGTGATGTTAAAGTCGAGTCTCCTTTGAGAACGCGTATTACCATGCATCTCGCGTCTTATTTCGGATACTTGAATATTATACATAAATTGTAGAGTCGTAGTATTTAGCCCTCTCATTTCCTTCTCATGGCAATAATCATCCATTTCCTTCTCATGGCAATAATCAATACCATGGATTTCTTCTGATCTCAAAAGACCCAAAATTTCAATGCATTTAAGGGATATCATCAACCATGCCTTGTATGGCTAAGGAAATCGAGCTCGTTTCACCGACGGGTGAAATCTACCAAGATTGGGAACTTTCACCCATCACGACGATCAAACTGTTCCAATGACACCATTAAACTTCAACCTTCTGTAGAATAATTAATTGTTTATAACACTATTGCAATTTTGGCACTGTTTTTCATCCTACAATCCTGGAATCAGTTTATAACTCGTACTCTGTGTCTGAACAGGAGACACTTCTGGCGCCAAAGACGACGATCCAACCAAGTTCGTCTGTATTAAGTTGACAAAATCTTGCCAGTACCTATTTAGAACAGCGCAGCTAAAAAGCTCCCTGACCACGTCCCCCGTTGGCTTGGTCATCTTGATTTTTGATGGTCTCATCAACAGAGAGCAATAACGTGGCAGCCTCTGTCGCAGATTGAAGGGCGTTTGTCTTAACAAGCGATGGCTCCCAGATAAAGCTTTCCATATTATTTCCAACAGACTCCTTTTGAAAGTCGACACCGTACCATGTCTCACCCTTGGCGTGAGAACTACGCAAAACGTTCAAGAGTTCAATTCCGTCCAAGCCAGCGTTTTCACACAATTGACGGGGGATAACCTCCAAAGCTCTTGCAAATGCCCCAATGATTAGTTGCTGTTTGCCTGCCACAGTCTTGGAATACTCTCTCAAGTACTTCGAAATCTCCATCTCGATTGCACCTCCGCCAGCCACAACAGATCTATGCTTCACAGCTCTTTTCACAATCATTATAGCATCATGCAAAGATCTTTCTACCTCGGCAATAACTTGTTCGGCACCGCCACGCAAAACAAGTGTGCAAGTCTTGGCCTCTGAACAACCGCGGAACAAATTATAACGGTCTCCACCAATTTGGACTTCTTCGAACTCTTTGCACGTGCCTAGATTATCAGCATCAATTTTAGTGACTGTTGACTGTACAGACCCACCCACAGCTTTAATCACACGGTCCATATCTTCGGCAGCGACTCTGCCAGCACAAAATATATTTCTGTCAGCGAAATATTGAGTCGCCAAATCGCCAATGGGCAATTTCGAAAGAACAATGTCAGCGCCAGCATTGCTTATTGCGTCCAATTTGTTGAAGATGATTTTCCATTCAGCATCAACAATATCTTGGTAGTCTTTGACTTGCTCGACGCGCACCTCGGCGTTGTCCCTTTCTGCTTTGAGCTCTAATTCAACGTTCAAACACAAGATCTTAGGGTTGGTGAACTTTTTTGGTTGTTGCTCGAAACCCGCGTAACTAAAGGTTTTCTTGAAGGCAACACCGTCGACAAATAACGAGTCCTCCATAGCACCTCCTGGAACTTTCTTGATACCGATTAAAGACTCGTCTAAGCTTTCATCTAAGGACATAACAGCATCAACAACCATCTTGGTGAAGAATTTGGAATTCCTACTGATTAACTTTGACGACATCGCTGTTGTTGCACATCTTTCCAAGAGATCTCTGAAATTTGTGGCATCATCTTTTTGGATTTCAACCTGAATTTCTTTGATCTTGTCCACAGCCAAATCACACGCAGTACGCAAACCTTTGATTATCAAATGGGGTGAAATTCCATCCTCAATGAATGTTTTGCTTTCTTTTAGGAACTCACCAGCCAAAATTGTGACGGACGTTGTACCATCGCCAACCTCAGCATCTTGCGAGCGAGAGATATCCACCAACATTTTAGCAGCTGGATGAACAATATCTAAAAGCTTCAAAATAGTGGCTCCATCATTAGATATGGTGGTTCTGCCGTTCGCAGATTTAATCAAGATGTCCGAGCCAAATGGACCTAAGGTGGGTTTGAGAGTTTCTTGAATGGCAAGACAAGCATTGATATTATTGAGGATCTGACCCTTGCCCTGTGATGCATCTGTTCCTTCCTTCAACACTACAATTGTAGGTGTTTGATTAGCAAACGACATTTTTTGTGCTCTTAGAATGTTCCTTCTCACTGAAAAGTCTCTTGATCTCAACAAAAAAAATGGGAGGCTGGATGTGCGCGAATCAAGTTTTGGCTCGTGATAACACAGGGCAGCCTCACCCTGTGGGAATTTTGAATCAGATTTTTTTTTATGATTATTCAGTCAGAAGCAACGAAATCTGATTTAATGGCTATGCGACCAATTTTTATTTGTCAAATGGCGCCCTCGGAAGGTATTGTTTGCACATGTTAATATTCAGCACTATACTGTGCGCATCCTGGTCAAGGGAAAAAAGACCCGAAAATCTTCATCATTGATTGCAGTATCGCTCTCATCTATTAACGCATTCCTTCGACATGTTTTGTAGCTCAAGATCCACGCTTCAAGCTGGTGTCCAAATCCAATTCCTGCGGAATGTTTCTAGGAAGATTGCCATGGTGAACGACGTCCATCTCTCTAACCGCAGAGTTATGAAGAAAATCAAGATGGGAGCCGCCAGACCAACCATCTTTCATCAGTTTGATACTCTTGTCGAATTTAGCGACGGATCTGTCATCAAAAGAAGATCTCAAGCACCAAAAGATGAAATCCGTCTAATCAGTGATCAGAAAAATAATGCCTTGTGGAATCCTAATCGTTCAGACTTGTCAAACGGTGATCTTAGTACCACGGGTAGAGTTGGTCTGTTCATGAAAAAGTTTGCCCAATTTCAAGAAGAACCTGCGGAGAATAAAGAGCAACAAACTGATGGTTTGGTCGAGCTCTTGGGAAACAACGTGACGGAGGTCCAAAAGGGCGGAAGATTGAGGGAAAAGAGAAGGGGCAAAAAATAAATGTGATCCTAGCGCAAACTTGTAAATACATAATACAATTGAGACAAAAGCATACGAAGTGACTTTTACTATCGCCTTTCTATTGTGATATACTACATTTGTTATATGAATAGTTTAACAATAGTACTTTTCGATGTCTCTCAGCGGTATCCCAGCAATCTGCAATTCTGAAGCACACCAATTTATGATGAGTTGGTCCTTTTCGTTTTTGGCTTGTCTAAGAATGATTTCAAGACATTGGACTCTGTTTCCTGAATCAATTAAAAGAAACTTGCCGAATTCTGCAGGTATGTCATAGGATTCAACATTCACATTTCCACTGGTCGTCTTACTGATGATATAGCTCAAACTCAGGTATAGTTTTCGGGTAGCCCTGTTGTTAATGTTTGTAGAAAAATGTTTGAAAAGTGTGGTGGTGAATAGGCTATGAATATCCCTACCGTTCGTCCTTTTATAAAGATCTCGAATTAGTTTCTCCAAGAATAATTCCTTAAGATTTTCATATGAATCGTAATCTGCATGTGTTTCTGAACTCGGAAGTTTTCTATGCGCCAATAAATACTCCAAAACATTCATGGAACCTTTAAAGGACACTCGAAAATCGTTCCGAAGACACATATCAACACATTGTCTTATTTGATGTTTTGCAAGGAGTTTTTTTATGATAACCTGAAAGTCTTCCGAGTTAATACCGTTTTTTGTTTTGAATATTACCTGAAGAATCTTTTCTGCTGCCTCTTCCCTGTCTTGAGAAATAAAAGAGGCAAATAACAGCGAGAGCGTGTTTCTCTTTAAGGGAGGTTTCAAGCTTTTAGTAATATACTCAAAGTTGGTACGATATTTCGGACTTTGACCAAAGTATGCAATCAAAAAGTCCACGATATCAGGATCTGTGTATAGTGTTTTTGGAAAGTAATTGAACAATAAGTCAGCAGATTCCTCATCATTTAGCTTTTCAATGAGAGATTGGAATAATATAACATTTTCTGGGCAAATTCAGGATTCGAGTTCTGGTTC